ATTTGATAGATGTTTTTTTTAAAGAAATTAATTTCTTGAGACCATTCAAATTCATGCAAAAATAAATTATTTATTTTGATTGTTTGAACATTTTCATTTCCACAGCTTGTTATTTCATATCTAAAAAAGAATAATATCAAGTTAGATATTTCATTCAAAGAGTGTAGTTTTTTTATATATGATAATGGTGTGAAGTGTTACAATCTATGAGTATACTTAACATGTGAATGTATTGTTAGTAAAGTGTTTTCTTTGATGTATACATATCATGAAAAGGAAAAAATGTTCAAAAGTTTACTATCGATATCATCAAAACTTCAATTATGCATTTTATTTTAAGGAAAAGATTAATCATTTTTAATTTATTGATGTGATACAAAGTTTAACATGCAGATGAAATGAAATTTTCAAGAACATTGTTTGAAAGAACAAATTATTGTTAATTAACTTCAAATATTCACAACAAGCGCTTTCCATGTATAGCAAAATGTGATATAATTTAAGTCAATGATTAGAATTTTCACACAGATTAGAGGTGTGGTTTACACCTTATGCTACAATCTAACTAGTGTATGCATGTGCTATAATATATGTTCTAGTTATGGACAAGATGATTGTAATTACAGCATTTTTTTTACATATCACCAGAAAAGTGCATGTAAGTATATGAGATAATCAATTGGATTTGAAAAAAAAAGTTTGATAAATTTTATTTGTAAAATTTTGAATCATTATTTGGATTGCAATAAATTCATAAAGAAATTAACAACAAAATGTTATGAGTTCATGAAAATACAAACATTATTAAAAATTATGTATGATCAATTTTTATACATAAAGAAGGTCAATAAGCTTCAATCCAATACTCTACTTTGATGATTATTTATTTTGAAAAAAGGTTAATCAGATGGCGACACATCCCAAATTAATCAAAATCTATATTTGGATAAGTTTAAAAATATTATAGATAGATATTCAAAGATATTTAAAGAGTATTTTATGGTTGAATAAGTCAAATTTATTCAATGTGTGCTCAACAAGTATCACATGAAACCTTCAAAAAAATACGATCTCTCTTGACATCACATTTCAGGCTTTTTGTAACTCAATGTTCAATCAACATCATTGGAAAAAAAACTTTCATCAATTTTTAATGACAAAATTTTGATATTCTAATGAACTTCATATCTCATATTGCTCTAGCTATTATCAAGTTGAGCAACCATATAGCAAATAAAAGAAAGTTGCATTGTGCATTGCATGTGCTACAAATTTTCCCGTATTTGACTCAAATCACAAATTTTGTCTTCTAATAAATTTTCAAAATTTTTCTTTGAAATCTTCATTGCTAGTATAAAGAATAATGATGTTTTGTTTGATGCATATAAAACAACATCAAATTTTGCTATGCCACAAGGATGTTGAACATAAAGAAGATTTGAACAAAAAAAAGAAGAAGTTTTTCATAAAAAAATACACAATTAGGTGTGTGTCTACATTTTTTGGTGGACAAATTTATTATTGATTGAGTTTGCAAAAGTGCAAAGCTTAATCTACAACGAAAGTTGAATATTGAACCGTAGCAAAATCAATAAAGGAAGCTAATTGTTTGAATAGACTTATTAGTGAAATGAGATTTAAACAGAACATTGTTAACATTTATTATAATAGTGAGAGCGTGTTACACCTTGTTGCAAATCAAGTTATGAATAATAAAATGAAACATATCAACATCAACCATCAAATTATAAAAAATAAATTTTCCAATAAAAAGGCTAGACTTGTCACGTTTAAAACTAATATCTCTACAATTGATGCATTGACCAAACTTATATTTTTCGATTGATTTAGAAAAGAATTTGCTACTTTGCAAGTTTTACATGAGAATCAAAATCAATTTTTTTAATTCTTTACATATGTTTTTATTTCATCCTATCTTTGCTATGATTTAATTCTAGTTAGTTCTAGTCTAAAGAGCTGTCTATTTTATAATTCTTTCTAAAACTCCGTGTAAATCAATTTTATAGGTCATGGTCTTATGACATGATTTAAGGAGAAGATTGTTATAAGTTGAATCAAGTTTTCATTTAGCTCAATTTAGGTTCGCCAAGGTTAGTTACGCTGATTAGACTGTCAATAAATAAAAGAGTTCAAGAAATCTTTCCATGACACTTTATAAAGTTTTTTCGCTAAACCTTGTGGTGTTCTGTGGATAAAACCTGCAATGATAAATCACTATGTTGAGTGTGAGTTCTTCAATTGGCTTTGTGTGTGAGTGCGTTTAGGCTTTCTTCTTGACATGAGTCACCAAAATCCATATTCTCTAACCAAAGTTTTGGATCAGGGCAGATGAGTATAACTTTTGTCTACGCATGGATGATGATGTGTTTGAGCAGCATTGTGAGCATCATCATCCATGTGTAGACCAAGGTCTCCTCATCACCTCGATTGAGCTTGTTTTAGATTTGTAATTATGACTTGAGTTACTTCCTCCTGAAAGTCATCGTTTCCTTCTCCGACCACTCCCAAGTACATCATAAGCTCCAAGAAGCAAGATACTTTCATGGATTTCTCTCATGATTTCTTGGATAATAATGATTATCGAAGATATCAGTGATAACAACCAGAAAAGAGCAGCTATTATAGACATATCAACTGGTGTGGGGATGCGTTCTTAGAGCGAAGTTAGTAGCCGCTGGCTGGCTACTAACTATGGGGCTGTTGCATGGCACAGCTTTGCGTAGATTCTTACCACCTTTGTGATGTACTTTACAGTTGGTGTCCATCGTTCATAATCAGGTAATGCTCGTACACATCTCCTGAGCACTCTTCTCTTTGGCCTTCATCACTGTGTTTCTTGAAACAGGATCAGCAAGAATCTAGGACCGGTGTAAAATAATCAAATGATTCGTCGTTTTCTATTGGGAAGAGAAATATTCACAGTGCTTATTGGTAATCTACGAAAATTGGAAGTCCAATTGTTTTCTTTTTCTGTATATAAGGTGTTTCATAGAATTCACTGGAGCAAGGATGGGCTCGATCGATTGGTGGTCAAGGATCTGAGGCATGGTGATCATCGGCAGATCCGAGCGCTGGGCATATGCACTAGGCTGTCCTCAGGACGAGAACCGTACAGCAACTTGTAAAGAGCCTAAAAATTGTTGAGTCTGGAAAGCCCCAAGATTCTAACCTTGACAGGTACATTCATCCTGCTGTTCAATACTTGAAGAGGGCTGCCTATGTTGGACATGATATCGGCTATTCTCAGTATAATTTCCGAACGATGTAATCTGGAAGTCTACGATATGATAAGTGACACTCATTTGTCACGCCTCAGCTCCTCATAAGACGAGCGTAGTTCTAGCTAGCGTTCTACAGCTGGCTGTAATGCACCTCCGCACTGCTATGTGAAATAGTGGCATCTGAATCCTAATTCAAAGCCGACGACAATCTGAGAGGATAAGCCAAGCATCTCCAGTCAGACTCAACCTGTTGGCGAATAAACGATCGAAAGCCTGGCCGCGTCTGGCGGTCACCATCCTGCTGGTTGATCTGTTTTTTTCAATAAAACATATGAGATCTTTTGATCTGGGCTCAGTTCGACTTTTATATCCGTGATCTCAATTCTTCTAGATTTTCGTCCATTTAATATGTTGTGAATATTTGTATTCGGCTTACGAATCTCAAGACAGCATGTTTCTTACCACATCTAATCTGTGGCCGCACGTAGACAACGAATGTGTAAGTCTTTTTTTGAAAAAAAACTAAAATTGAAAGTTCTTGTGGATTTTGAAATATAAATAAATACATAAATAAATATTATGAATATCATGATAAAAAACTAGCTAAAATTCACCACCTACTTCTTAAGTCAAATGATTCCACTCACAATTTTTCAAACCATAGAACTTGTATTTATTCTCGTACTATGAGAAGAGATACTACACAAGTGGACCTTTTCTTTCTATGGACAATGAAGACCATGATGGTTGTAAGTGAGTCTTCAGAGCAGAATACCGTTAGCACATTCTTAATGAATGGTACAAATTTAGTACGGTATTCAGACAGACCACCATGGAAATGGAAATACACTGCACGTTTAGGAGACTTCGTGGCATGATTACATGAGCAGAACGGACTTTGAATCTTATTGAGCGATATTCGTAGTTAATTTAATGATTGTAAGACAATTTCCGTGAGTGAAATAGTCAAAGTTTCAGTTTGCAGTCGCTAGCACCTTCGGAAATGGATCGCAAGCACGATGTTTGATAGTTGAAGCTGGTGATACTGGGCGCCGTGAGAAGCAAAAGCATATCTTCAAGGGCACCTCCTCATCGGCGATTGTCGGCGCTTGGCTTACTCTGGAGATCGTGTTGCCCACAAACTGGACGACCTCCAACAATACACAGAACATATCATCCCGCCGCGATGTCCACTATCTGCAGAATACCTCCACACCAGTTGAATTAAGCTGAGTTAAGCTTTCGGTATTCTACCTCATTAGGAACATGATCCTTATTAAAAAATTGTTAGATTTTCCGCATAGCCAGATTTCCTTTTAAAACTATGAGTGTACACGGTAACGTCACTAAAGACGAAAGAATCCTTCAGTTCTTCTGAACCTTATATTTTGTTGCGATTCGATCTTAGGAACAAAATGAGCACAGATGGATGGATGATTTGCCCGGTTCCGTACGTCACCATTGTTTCATCAACTAAGTATTTCCCTACAGTACCTGCAGATATTCGGAACTGACGGATCTAGATTGCTGCTTGGAGGAACACTGTTAAAGAGAATCCATCCACAGAACTAAAGCAACTAATTACATATCTACCGGTTGACTTTTCCAGTAAAGGTATGAAACGAGCTTGTAATTTTGTCTTTATTCCCTCATTTCCGAATATACAGTACTTTCTGCTGTCGTTTTGTCACTTTTTTCAAATATTTGATTTCACCTTTCAAGATGAGGTCATGGTAGTCTTTTGACGACGACTTTGTGTCCCATTCGCGAGGTACCGATCGTCAGTCTCTCGTACGGAAGAGATGTCGAGTGTGTACACCTTCTTCGTCGGTTCGATGAGTGTGTGGCAGCCTTAGACATTCATACAGACGAATGCACATATACGTCTCGCGCTGAAGTGTCGTTGTCGCTCATTGAGCCCACGACGAAACCGTAAAGAAGGACGGAGGAGAGGCCTGAAAAAAAAAAGCTGCAATTTACGAAGATGGAGCTAGAACTGCAAGGAGAGGATGTTCCAACCGCGAATGGAAGATGGATTGTTGTGTGCATTTGTGGTTTGCTGGGAGCTGTTTTTCTTTGGCGAAGGTTGTCCGGTCGCTCGAGGAATTTACCTCCAGGACCCAAGGGCTGGCCTGTCATAGGAAATCTGCTGGATCTGGGGTTGTATCCACATCAGTCGCTGCAAAAGTTGGCGGACAAGTACGGACCAGTGATGTTCATGTCTCTGGGTTCAGTTCCAACATTGGTCGTCTCATCCAAGGAATTGGCTCGCGAAATTCTCAAGCATCAGGACCAAGATTTCAGCTTCCGTCCCAAAAGCACAATGGGCGAGCTGGTTATGTACAAATCAAGTGATATGGTCTTTTCGCCCGTAGGCGAATATTGGAGGTATTTGCGTAAGATCTCTGCAAACGAAGTCTTCCATACCAAGCGCCTCTCTGAACTCGAGGTACGGTTTCTAACGTGTAGATCCCAAGACAATCCGAGAGAAACACGATATTGTAATGCTTGAAGTGCTGTAATTGTTAGGCTTGACTGTCTGACTGTCTTTTTATGTGTCATTTTCATCTATGTGAAGCGTTCCTCTATTATTTCGGGGAAATTCCAACGGGTATTGTAGCATGTGCGGAAACGGGGAACGCCCGGCGTGATACGATAGCGCTAAGGAGCTCCCCGATTTGCCTCCTCCACCTGAAAATGATCTTATTTAGGGAATCTGAAAGAGAATTCCAATTTTCATTGTGAGTTCGTCTGCAGTAGGCTTTGTAGTCGCCATGCCCTGTTAAGAACTCGGTTCTGAGAGTGAGCGATGAATGGACCTTGCGGTTGATTTTTGATGTAATTGTGCGGCATGACAGACCGTGAGGAGAGAAGAAGTATTAACGACCGTAGGACAAATGTTGGAGGCTAGCGAAGATGGACCTGTTCAGCTCAACGAGAGGTTGGAGAACCTGATCTTGAACATGCAAACGCGCACGCTCTTCCGGAAGAGGTACAACGTGTTCGGGAAAAGTGAGAACGGCGCCTCTGCCGACGACGCCAGAGAGGCGAGCGAGTTCCATAAACTGAACAAGGATTTGAGCATCTGTGGGCATTTTGTGGTCGGAGATTACGTCCCCTCTTTGAGATGGGCCGACTCTGGCACAGGCGGTGTGCTCGCAAAGATGAATCAATTACATCGGGACCTGGATAAATTCTTCAGTAAGATCCTCGAGGAGCACCGATTAAGTTTGAAAAACCAGCCGAAGAGCTCGGACGAAATGGATTTTGTGGACGTCCTCTTGCAGCAGCACAGCGATAATCTAACACATGACAGTATGAAGGCGTACATCATGGTAAATATGACAAATCTGTTACTTAGGCTTGGTTGAATTCCAGTTCGCTAACTACATTTTACACTAGACGGCAAGTATACGAGTCCTTAAATTACAAAAAGTCGCACCGACGATCTCAGATAGGTTTCATTCTGCACATACTTTAGATAATTCACAAGGTCATGGAATTATTCGGATCTCGGAGACCTTCGAGGCGGGTATTAATTCAGCCCGACTTGGGATTGGAAACACCTTCTATGTTGAGCCAGTGATCAGCTGGCTCAAGCTATGCACTGCTGTCATGCTGAGCTATTCTCTGTGGTGGGTGATGTCGAGTCGGTTGAAGTGTTCGATTGCCACCAGCTGCAATGTCGACTTCTTCGAGACGGGAAGTCAGTCGATAGAGCGAGAGGGTTTCCAGGTACTGAATGTCAGGCTTTGTGATCTTTTTCAGGACATGCTTATGGCGGGAACGGACACCACAAATCAGGAGATCATGTGGATGCTGGTTGAGCTCATGAGACATCCACATGTTCTGAAGAAAGTCCAGGAGGAGTTAGATGATGTCGTGGGCAGGGACAGGGTGGTGGAGGAAGCGGACCTGGGGCAGCTCAACTATCTCCACGCGGTGATCAAAGAGAGCTTCCGACTGCATCCTGTGCTGCCACTCATGTTTCCCCACCTATCGACCAAACCGACAAAAATTGCAGGATACGATATCCCCGCGAACTGCTCTACGTTCGTCAATGTGTACGCCATCATGAGAGACCCGAACGTGTGGAAGGACCCTCTGACCTTCGATCCTGACAGGTTCTTAAACAGCGACGTAGAGGTGAAAGGACAGGATTTCGAACTCCTGCCCTTCGGCTCCGGGAGGAGAATGTGCCCCGCCCTGAACTATGCCTTGAAAATTGTCGAGCACAGCCTGGCGAAAATCCTACACATGTGCGACCTTTCCCTTCCCAGCGGCATCGAACCGCTGGATATTGACATTACAGAGTCTGTTGGAATCACCTGCTGTCCAAAAACGCCTCTACTGGTTATGGTGAATCGACGATTACCGGCTCAAGCCTACGAAAAGTCAGGATTAAAACCAGAGAAGTGAGATTTGGACTCGTCCAAGCCCAGTGATTTCAAGCTTTTTCATATCTTCAATGTGGGGCAAAAATTCATGACCTTAGGAAGGTCATGAATTTTTGCATACTTTGTACATATCCAACAATACTTTTCATCTTCCTTCGAGGCATTATATATAAAGTTATAATAATAAATGTCTAATAATAGTTAAGGAATACTTGCGTACATGTCTGATATACGCAAAATGGTATCAAACTTGCATATATAAACGTAAATATCTGTATTAAATATCTGCACAAGGTTGGAGATACACTCCATACATAGATTCTGAATCATGTATAGCTCGCTACGAGCGGAAGAGCTCGAAATGCCGAGGCCCAGGATGGTCTGCTGCTCTGGATGTGTTAGTTAGCGCTTGGACAAAGCTGGACACATTGTGGAGGAGATGTACTTTTACTAGCGAAGATAGCGAAGAGAGACATGACAGGCTACAACTCTAGAGCAGCTAAAAATGGAGCTTTGACTTAGGCCAAAAGCCTGAAGCGGGCCAGCCTGCTTAGACACGAAGGAGGCAGTTGACTTCTATTAATTGGCTTTTGTACAGTACGGCATCAATAGAGCATACGTCATGTCTGACGATATATCATACCGCTGAAAACCGATCTACAAGTCTCCAAGATGTTTTACCTGTCTTAAAATTACCTGCAGTTACTCCTGACTGAGCTCTTACATACTAAATAAGAGAGTCATTGAAGGTTGTGCATGTCGTTACATGCATAAGGCGTGACTCGTGATCTATAATGACCGAGACCAATCGTGCAGAGTCCAGATTGTCGAGACCGAAAGACCAAGAACTAACAGATAAACTAATTTCTACATCAAGTGATCGAACTTGGACATGGCCTCGCGCATCTCGGATGACACCAGCTTCGAAGGTCTTAGAGTCTGAAGACCTTCGAAGCTGTAATCTGTCTTGATGCGATGCGGATGTAATAGACTCTCTTGAAATATGCACGAGTTTTAGTAAAGTGTTCGTTATGAGGTCATCTTCTCAGCCCTTGACGCACCTCCCTATGTGCATGATATGGCCTAACGTTCACGATGAAGTGTGAACTGGATTTCCAAAACTCCAAATATGTAACTAGTGATAGAGATTATATGACACACATATCCCAATATCTTCTGGGAAATATATTCTACTATCTTAGACTCAAGCTCTTGCCCTTGATAGATTCTGTTATGTATGCGGTTAGATCATCAACAGAGAACATTAGGCTCCCCATCATTCGCGATGAAATTACTTTGAATATCGTGACCGCAACCAATTGAGCTATCCAGAATATCAGCATCTCTCGTGTCATGTTATGATGCAGTTAGAGTAATATATACTTACATGTTTCATCTTTACATAATAAGATCTAGTAAGGACGGCTTACAATTTATCTTAAGATTGTACAGAGTTCACGCTGAATTGATTGTATAAATTTAGGTTAGTGATAAGTCTTTCCGAGATATCATCTTGGATTTATTTATATTAAAAATGTTATTATCCTTGATGTTTGAAGAAAATGTAAAATTTGAAAGCAAATTGTTAAGTTAAGATCATAGATATCATATTGCTTTCTGGTGAGATTATCTCACGGAAGTCGAGCCAACGTGAAATATAGATAAAATAAACACAAAAATAAAAGCTGTAAATTAATTTATATGTTATCATCTCAATCACTTTTTTGAAATAAATGGTATACAGCTTTCTTGTCCCTTCGGAGGGACATAAAATTGGAACGATAGAGAGAAGATTAGCATGGCCCCTGCGCAAGGATGACACACACACAAATCGAGAAATGATACATATAAATTTTATAACGATAATGTTAAATAAAGGCTTTCATCTTTTAAAGTATTTTATAATTTCATACAATGATAATCAAATATTTATGGACAACTTAAAACAAAACGTGGCAATGCGAAACAAAATATAATCGAAAATCTAAAAAAAACTGGTGATGATAAAAAAATAGAAAGTGATAAATAATTATCTTACATTTTTTTATGATATTTCCATTGATGAATGAAGATTATTTACAAGATCAATTCGTGATAAAGAAATCTATACACAAAAAGGTGCAAATTTTAATGAATATTATTCCTGACATACAAAATATCTCATTATTGGTCTTGTGTAGTTGTGTTTAATCCTGAAGTAAATCAGATAAATAAAATCTTTGATTTCTTATATTAAAGGTTCAATGAATTCATTTTTATGACAAAATCTTTGAGCTTTGTAAGAAACAGCCAATTTCATTGATTTGAGAATTGCTAAAATAGTCATACATTATCAAAAAAATCTTGAATTTTCCAAAATGTTTTCGAAGATGTCATGAGGGCAAAGTATATAAAATGAGTATAATTTAACTTCAAAATTATAAAAAAAAATCTTAAGAATATAATTTTTAATTTTTAATTTTTTCTTGTTCTTTAGTATGAAAGATATGAGTAGTATAGGTAGGATAAAACTATTTTTCATAAGCTTTTAGTTTACTGTAGTTATCCGTAAGAAATGACGTTTTTTTTTTACTCGCAAGCTTTTACATAAAAAATTGCAAGTTGATGAATATTGTTTACCTTCTCCTTTCAAACTCCCATCAGGATTTTCCAAAAAATGCAAGGAATTAAGATTTGATGACCAAGATTCAAAATCACCTAAATTTAAACTATATGGTGGATAGTTTAATCAATAATATATTCAGTGACTCAAATTATGCAACTGAGTAAATAAAAAAAATTGCATGAAGATCGGCCTTGTAAGACTTTCAAAAGATACTGTTATAAAATTAAACTCTGTTTACTTTTGTTCAAAACTAAGTATTTATGTTGCATCACAAATGGCAATAAATGTACATCATTGAATCAATGCACACATATGTATAAAAAAATCTATATTGTATGAATACTAAAATTAATTCATATTCCAAACTTTGCTAGCTTTTTGCACTCATCATCTTATTCAAGAAATTCAGTTTATCTTATTTGGTAATATTTATCTAAGTTCATGTCATTTATCATAAAATCGAATATATTTTTCATTCAAAAATCTCTAAAAAAAATTCAATTTAACGAAATCAATCAATGATCATAAATTTTAATAAAAATTTACACGATTTTGGTTGACTTTGTTTAAAATAAACATATTCTTTCAAATAGTTCTAAGATACACATTTCTAAAAATTAATTTACTTTATAAATAATCACCTTTTTTGATATATATAAATAATTATATTTATTTTTATATTTTTATATTTTTATATTTAAGTAGTCAATAGATCAAATTTAACGCAATCACATTTGTGACAATGATCACATACGTCGATACAAAAAACTCGATTTTTTGACATAGATAACAATCATTCATATGAATGAGGTTCATCATTTATTCAGAACATAACCTTATTGTATATTTATTGATTAATGAATGATCAGAAAGTAAAACAATGTGAACCTTACATCTTGATCATTTCTTTTTAAATATTAAGACCTTCACATATATTAAATATCACAGATTCAGAGTTGAATCATGTATAACATTAAATGTACAACAATGAGTAATTTATGAAATTGGTGACTTATTGCTAAATTCTTGCAAAAATTGCTCTCGTTTAAATTATGTGGACTTTAATATGCTTAGAAAAAATACTCAATCAATGTGGATAATGCATTATATGGTTTACTCTCATCTCTCACTTGAAATTGTCAATTTTGATCTAATCTTGCATACCAATATTGGTTAGCTTGTTATCATGTCAAGTCAATGAATCATGAATAAACAACGCAAATGATATTACACTCAAATAAAAATCTACCTGGTTTTCTGTAGAAATATTTGCAAGTCTTGTATTGTATCATTCCTCAATTTTACATGATGTAAATTATACATATTCTACATTCTACAAGGTTAAGGCTTTAAGGTCAAGATTTTATTACCTTGTTCATATTGTCAACATGAGATACATGAGATGAATTCTCACTAATTAATTATGAGTTTAAAGTAATACCAAAGTAATCTGCGTACCAATATTTCAATCTAGAAATCCATCAGCTCCTGAAATATATTTTGAAATTCATGATACTTCATCGATTCACCCTGAATGTATCAATCCTAAAATAAGGAATTTAAAGCTGAGCCTTTATTGTAGATCAAATTATGAGTTGTATTCACATGTGAATTCATCTAACTTGAGGATATCATTCAACTGAACATTAGCTACTCTATCCATAGAGAGTATCGGAATCTTGATGCTGCTATAGGTATTATATATTATCTCTACAGCGTTCTAGGAACACAATCCAAAACATATCCAATCTCAACTCCTTCAAGCTCTCACACGAAATTAGAATGTGGGAATAACTTCATTGTACTATCCATCAATGTTTCTCTCTTAGAAATCTTCCTAGTTTAATCACTTGCTAGAAGCTTCTGCAGTCCCTCTTCTCCAAAATTTTAACAGCAGGTTGTTTCTAAATCCAGATAAAAACTATACTCTCTTCGATGAATACCAATATATGTGATTCGTCTGGAAGTTTTGTTTGCCATAGCCCATTATAAGTACTTTGAATAATAGCAAAGCGAATTTTTGCCATGTTTCTAGTGTCTATTCGAGGCAGCACCACATTGCGAGTGCATCTGATCATGTCACATAGGTCTTTGATAATTTATCAAATCACCTCCACGCCATGTGTTTGAATCCGAGCCTAGAGTCTAGTCACCTTCTGATTCATTATCATCAATCGTTTTTATAGATAGTTAATCATTTACGTGCAAGAGACTTTACGTTGTGATACATTGTGCTTCATATATAGTTTGGGACCTTTCCTCTTAATCCAGCAGTACAAGGCTCTGAAACATATTCATAAACAACTGTACTGGAGCCTCAAAAGCCATAATTGTAGTCTTCTAATGATGAGCCCAAGCCTTATGAGCAAAAGCTCATAGTGGATGATTACAAGCAGCAGGCATCCATGAGTAATATGCCAGTGATTCACTCTCATTAGATTCTTACTCTCTGTTTCACTCTTGTAGAAGCCCTATGGCAAGATCTTGACTCACAAGTAAGCCGCTATCCTCCTCATAGCTTCACATAGCACCAACATATTCTGTCATAAAGATGGTAACACCCGTCGCTTTTCCTCTGCCTATTATCCCTTGCCTTACACATTGCTCTTAAAAGGCATAGCTTGATGCTAAAGAAACCGGTCTATATAGATGCATCAAAAGCTCAAAGCCCTACAGACACACATAATATTGTCAAATATACAAGTTTTGGTCCTTAAGATCCCATATCATATATAAGAAGTTGTGTGCCCTCATCAATGAGACGTCGTTCCAAATAAGAGATGCGTCATATAGTCAGAAATACGAGTGGTATGCATTGTCTACGATGTTATTGATGAATCTCAATGTCAGACGTATGTCAAATCGAACCGTTTGTCATGCTGCCACCATCACAGTACCTCCATCGTCAAGCAGAAATTTTACAGCATCGCGTCTTGAGTGTTTCCTCATATTCTAGTTTAAGACTTGCGATTTCAGACTCTTATATGTTTAAGTCAGAACTCCTTGATGGCCCAGCTACGTTCACGTGGCGGGCATAGGGTTGATGTTTTGAACTGTTTAGTGTTATTTTTACGTGAGCCTCTATTATTCTATTAGCCTCTTATTTATTCTTGTGAAATTGAGCACTCAATCCTTCAAATGAATCAGTCACGTATAAATCTCGTCTCGAGTATGAAGAGAACGAATGAATACAAGAGTACATAAATGTAAAAGTAAAAGAGTTCAAGACTGATCCGCCTCTCGAGTAGATCCAGGAGGACCCATAGGTATATACCAAGAAGGATGCATAAATCTCGACGATCTTATTTGTTCTCCTTTACATGTCTAAAAATGGCTTTGCTCCTTCAGAACTGGACTATGCAATTGGTCGATGCAAATGCTTTGCACATGATGGCAGCATATGTTTTCTTTAGTACTTTCTGTTACCTTAATCTTCCTTTCTGCAGCTGTCTTTCTTTGAGAATCCTACTAAAGGTGGCATAGTCTCAACTTACGCAACAGAGTTCTCTCAAGTTCGGTGTTATAACTTAAATCTTGCTCATTGCACAGACTGATCTTCACATGCAAGATCCACGTCTTCGTGCAGTCTGCACAAAAATATTACACAACATCTGTTGCTTATTATATATATAAAAAAAAAAGGCCTGCCCAGTTATGTCACATGCACAATTGATGGATCTAAATTGCTAGATCTGACCTTGACGAAAACTGCTCTGTTAGCTAGCTATAGATCTTCGAGATGTGCACAAGGCTCTACAGACTGCAAAGGTGAACGTAATGTAACTTGCTATAGAGTATGTTACAAGTTTCGTGTGAGTCGTCGCTCCCATCTAAAGATATAGCCAGTCCATAAATCTTCATCTTTAAGTTCAGCAACTCGTATACCAGATGCGCCAAATTTTATCTCGCAAGCATCAATGATGGCGTTCAAAGTTAATGCAGCAGCCAAGAAGGTCACACATTCATTTCATAGGCCACAAATTTTGACTGGTGCAAGAGGGTGTGGAAGTCACCTGCGCAGTTTGTCTGACAGCATGGGGTATTGAGACGGGTTCCCAAAGATGTTTTGGCCAACTGTGTATCGGTTTGTCCTGGGCTATCGATGTTAGAACAAGTGACTGACTGCCCATGTAAGCGTTAAGCTGCTGCCAGGGCTAAAATGAACACAGGAGACGATGAACTTACCATGATTCCTCATGTTACCTCACCCACTTCATTTCTTGACCATTTCTGCTCATATATATTCCATCAGCTACCCAGAACCTTCATATGCTCATCTGATCCTCATAACATTGAAACACATTTATCATTCACTCGTGAGGAAGAGAGTGAATGAGGTAAACGAGGATACATCTATAGCTTGAATTTGCAATCTGATATGCATCAGAGAACGTGATCGATCAATTGACAACTTTGTAACTCATCACTGATCACGTTCTTTAGAGATCATCAAGCCTCCTGACGAGACCTGTAGTTGTTCTGAAGCATGTGCTGTCTTCCTGGGTCACGAGAACACGAGGAAGCCGCATGGGTTGGGTGGACCTCACGAATCATTGGCTGCTCGTAAGCAGCCAATAGAGCCAAAGTATGTGCTGCAAAGTTATAGTACACTTTCCTCGCGGTAGCAGTGAAGTAAGTCAAGCAGTCCATTGATGTCACAATAGCGTACGAGACTGCGCAGATTTTGCTGCAGATTATTTTAGGCATGGAAATGTCTGACAGTTAATCGAGACGTGGCCTGCTCTTGCCGACAACAACTTCTCACAAATTTTTTGCAAAAACAAACAAACTGCACATCCACGTACATCAGGGAATATAATAATGATTTATAATATAACATATCATTATCTGGAGATGTATATAAATGTATACCTTCCATTTTTTTGACTTAGACGTCCAAGACGGAAACGTCTGTGAAACTTTCCTATAACTCAAGCTCCAGCATATGATTTATTAATAGGAAAGAAAGAGTCAACGGCAGAGCATCCACCGGATATATTGCATCACTTCTGTCACCACAAAATGTACATCGTCGCGTCATTTATTATTATGTTAATGTCAAACCACTTCATTTGAACGACTGCAGTAACCCCATGAAGCAGTTGCAAACATCCATAATGATAAGCTGGGGTGAACATTGGAGAAGTCTGTTTCTGCAGACATTCAGATGTGACGAGGAGACTGAAAGATTTTTCCCGTAAGCAATCACCTATCTAAATAATCTCCCTAACGGCAACCACCATCAACTGCTTCTATGACACCAACCTCCGTACATTGGCAAGTATCTCCGTCTTTCCTTGTGACTAAAGTATTCGGCTTCTAGCATAACATTTGCTCACAATTCAATGCCCCCATGCCACGAGCGAGCAATGAGAGTTTCTTTCTGAGAGCATCTGGTCTGGAATGCAGAGCTTTCTGTAAATGATCACCTGGTTTGTGCATGTGCACCTTGTCAATCGTGATTCGGACATCAAAGGCAAGATCTAAAACGTGAAAACGTGATGAAACTTTTCGTTGCAGGCCCACAAGGTGCAGTCTCCAGGTTGATATGAACGCTTGACGTCGATGACCTGCAGTATTAAGCAACGCCTCTATAAGCTTTCGACTCCATATACAACGAAGCTAGATCGATGATTCAACCTCAGCTAGGTGTGAACATGGGTAGTCAACATTATGAAGTTATGCATTGTGATCTTTGACTTTCACAGAGGACCCTCGAGGACAAAGATATTAATATATGATTGAGAAATTAGCCCTTCTACCTGAAGATTCCTTCCAGGGTTGAGGACAGATTGTGTGCGTATGATAATTCTAGAGTGGCTTTCAAGATTATCAGTAATCTGCTTTGGTGAAAACAGAAATTATAGATTCATTCTGTATCCTCACAAGGAGACAACTCCAATAATATCATTCAAGAAACTTCATTTTTTCCTCTTCCAATTAAGTTCAAACTAAACGAATCCTCCATCATTCATATATATTGAATCTACAATCAATGAATGGATCAAAGAGAAGTGACTGTTCTGTAAGCAACTTCATTTGCTCCCTTAGAATGTTAGAGTTGAGAAGAGCTGACGACGTATAACTTCACAAGTATAATGTTGAATAGGCTCTAATCAATCGCTCATACCGTCTTGTTCGATCAACCTGTAAGATTTCAGGAAAGAGTACCCGTTAATGTTGATTCAGAGTATCAAATTTGAAAGCATAAAATTCTTAGATATATGTAAATCAAGGCAACATCTGAATTTCTAACAAGAAAGTAACTCAATGTAGAAACTGGCACTTAGTGAGAAGATCCTGATATTGTCCGTGGTTGCACTCTAAAAGTGAAGCGTATGATGTTACAGTTGTACCAGAACTTCAGAGCGTCTGAAGCAGCCGATGGACATGAATGATAAAAATAAGTGTGTTCAGGATGCTCCTCTGATCTTTGAGATCGGCTTCTGAATCAGAATTGCTACAGTGTTTGTGCACACTACAGTGGAGAGATCAAGAGCTTCGGGTGGATGTTCAGCTTCCAAAGGTTCAACCACCAACAGTGATTTCGAAAAGCATGTTTGAAAATATTGAAGCTGAATATAACTAACTTACAGAGGTCAGGATGAATCACCAAGGATCTGACGGCTTTATGGTCTATTTGAATGCTCCTTGTTGGTTGCAGGTACTTGTGATATCAAATCACAGTTTAATTGGGAGATCATTGAGTTCTGTTCTCTCGGAATAGATTGCGTTGAGGATGCTGTCATAGCGTATGGCTAGTTGAGTCCATCATTCCACATTGAATTACCTACCAAAGTGCAGGAGACTACTAGAGAAATCACGAAAATACCCTCAAAAAAGAATTCAGCCCAAGAATACGCAGAATTGTGGAGATCAACATAATCGTAGAAGAAAACAGAAAAGGCATAGATGTGGCCATCGGAGTGAGAAGAATCTGGTCAGGTTTCGACTATCCGTTCCAACATCCAGCATATTCATGAACAGATCAATTTTGATGGTATTTGGAAAAATTCTTATCCTCTAAGATAGTCGTTGCAAACCTCTATCATTCTCATTTGAGCACTAAATCAACAAAAGAAAGATGACGCGAGTTCAAGTGATATAAATCTGATGCTATGAGGAATTTTGTGCACATGAAAAATATGCTCGGTCATTTTGTAAACAATGACTTGTGACCATTAGTTCTCGTAACACCTTGACCTGGCAGATGATGGCGATTTCGAAGAAGACAAATTCATCACGAATTGCCATGAGCTTGATTCGTTAATGGTTTTGCGCCATATGTTCCACATATTTATCTCTCCGTAAGGTGATCTTTCGTCAGCTTTGGATAATATGCCCGATGACTTACAAAATGGATTTGTTAACTAAATGCATATCAACTCTTACCATTTCTTTCAGACGCATAATGGAAGGTCATATGCAACCAAACTATAGATCGTGTGACGTTCTACCTACGACAACGATGGTTCATCTGATGTACAACCATGAACGACTAAAAGTCATGTGAACCACCCACCAACGAAAACACGAGGTTGGTTACAACCAACTTAAACGAGTAATCAGACCGCTTCTACTCATAAGTACATTCTCTAGTTCTTTGAAAGCTATGTCCACCGCCATCCATCTCTGATGCAAAGATAACAGATATGATGCAATGAGTTGAAACAAGTAGATTCTCATACTCAATTGATAAGGCAAATGACAAGGCAGATCGAGCTGAAGAGGACGAAGGAAAAGAAAGCAACAACTCATAAGACTCATACCATGTACCATCAATCTGTCCGAAGGTTTGGAAAGTGGGTTATTACTGTCAAATGCATTAGTTCGAGATGCAAATATTAGGGATCTTTAACGACCCGTTCAGAGTGTTAGCTTTGCAAACTAAGATCTTATCACTTTAGAATACATCGGATGAAGTTTACAACTATCCCTGTATATATCTTGATGGTTCTGAATTTTACCCACAATTTTAAGTTGCAACACTTCGTGCTAGATAGTTGCTTTTTGCACATTTTTTCCGGCATTCTCACTCCCGTTGGAATGGAACAACGTGTGAGAACAAGATTTGCATTCAAAATTACCTGACAGTCGTTTCCAGGGTGGTTTTCAAGAGAATTCTCAATCGCAATAGCCTTGAAACTAGAAAAGAACTTGTTTATCTGATTTCAGCATGTTGGCATATGTTTGAAATTTCATGCCTATGCATGGAGAGCAACCATCTGATTCAACCGTCCAATGCAGGAGTCGTCGGCCCGCTCAACGTGTGGACCTGGGCGTGAAGTGGCGGACGGGAGTTGTGTACGTTGTGCACCTTCCTGCCACTTGCATGGTGGTGGTGAAGGGTAAGTTGGTGTCAGGTCGAAATCTAGAGGCAGTGATTGTACGAGCGACGTCGATGAAGACAACGACAGCCACATCTAGACAAAGGAAGTCTGAGCCGCTGGATGGCTGCATAAAATTTGCGTGTATTCAGGACTTGGACTCATGACCACGCCGGCCGAGGGAGGGATGAACGACGAGACAGCCCAAACCGTCTGTTGACACTGCAGCCGTCCTCCTTTCGACATTTGTTGCTGCTCTGAGACCCCAGAAACACTAACGCTCGTCCAGCCGGCTGGCCCCACCGGCGCCGGTATTGCATTGCTCGCAGGTCTACACTAATTTCGGCAGTACTCTCGAGCACTACGTGAGTCTTTCCAACTCCTCTTCTTCCTCTTCTGGTCCATTTTCTCGACGTTTAAGTAAGGCGCTTTCATGATAAGCTGCCATACAACGATTGCTTCAATAAGAGTAATTCAATTCACTTTTTGCAATCTACAAATCCCCGTGAGAAATATCAACCATTTTCTATTTCTCATGACTGTTTGAGTTTATGATGACCGGTCTTCAGTATTGTAGTAGAGGAGATTAGTGGTGTCTGTGGATCATGATACTTGGTCTACTTTTGTTTGTGTTTTTCCAGGTTGACTTCTGTAAGTTTCAACAACTTACACTCAGGTAAATAATTCTCTGTCAATTTGTTGCGTTCAAATTTTGTTTTGTCAATTCCATGTAGCTATCTCTATGCAAGCTAATAGCGTTTAGCACTAGCCAAGAGCTAATTCGGGAGGCTGAAAAGTGCAAAGTACAAGGACAGTGTCTCCAATTCCAATGATTGTTCATTGCATGCTTATTAACAGAATCTATGGTTTCTGGAGCAACGACACCCTAGCCTTTAAACTAGCATTTGACAAAGTCATTCACACTGAACGTGGAGAAGATACTAGGGGTAAAGAATTATGAAAATATATCGAACGTAAGGTCATCATAATCCTTTCGAATACTAAAATTTATTTAAACGAATCTGATTAAGTCTGTCTTAAATCACATATACTTCATCAAATAAAACAGGAGTCATTTTATATATTTCTTACTGATGGGACATATAACAAGAGTCAGACATCTTCAAATCTGAAACCTGAAATCTGAAAGTTTGAGAATACATCACGATGTCAACAACTTAAGATGCATCCTACTAAATGTATAGGAGGAGGCGAAACACCTCTGTTTTTCTTGATACCGTGTTGAATATATAGTACCCTATACTACATTTTGGAAAAAAAAACCATGGTCTTCTCACTTTTTCAACTTGGACTACTTAATCATAAATTTTTCATGTTGGATGTGATTTATATTTGTGATATCATATACATATCTTAGAAGAAATGTACCAAATTGAGTGTGCAAGACTAGTATTGTCTTGGTGATTAAAACAAATATGAACTTTGATTTGCGTAATTGTAATCTTTCTTTTTTGTTCAGAGAAAACAAGTAAACATTGAATTTCATGTTCCAAATATATGCTTTGTCTTGTATAGAATTTTTGTCGCTTCAGAACATGAGTACATTCCATCTGACATTTCGGTGAACACGTTCGGTGGAATACAGTCTATATATTTGGTTGAACTGCTGAAAAATCATAAAGCTTATCATCTCTCTTTTGTTTTTTGCCATAGCATACAGAAAAGAAGTGACATACGTATTCTAATCCAAGACGTGTGAAAGATCTAAAGCGAATAATTTTGAAGAATTCTTTGACAGATTTGAAGGAAACAAAAGATGTCTTATAGATTGATAGATCCTTTCCGAGCATTTTCGCATCTTTTTTCTATCTTGCTTTATCTTATATACTATCCCATCTCATTCTGTTCTCTATGTTCCTTATAGTACAAAAAAGTGTGTGAAGTCTTCATTCAACATTTGTCTCTGAGTAAAGATAACTGTTGGACCTACATAGTAAAACTGAAGTTTTGCTGATACTTTCCACTGTTATATTCAAAGGAAAATTTTATGTCAGAAAAAATCACTCTAGCAGTACGTACGATCGTAACAACTTAAAATCATGGTTCTAATGAGTTGTGCCATTTTTTTATCAGAATCTTAGGGTCGACAACTTTACACGGTATTTGCATATTATTGTAGAAAGGGTGCCAAAACGCCTTTGGTCTTACTAAACCCGAATAAGAGAGAGGGTTATTTTGTGGGCATAAGCAGTGCGTGAGTGAGTGTCAGTGGATGATGATACTAGTACAGTGTGGATGTAGAAGTGTATATATGGAGATATGTACTCTTACACAATCCGCATTTCTTTCGTACCATCAACAACTGCAGGCTACTGTAGGTCATTTTTCACGTTTATAGAGCTACAATAATGGGCTTCCTTCACACAATCCCGAAAAGTTTTGAACAGACTAAGCAATTGCGTTTCGTGGAAGTCATCAGTGGACGCAACTGAATCAAACAATCAGAAAAGCTTGTTGACATTTTCCCTTTCCTTTGTCGGTAGTGTGTCAGAAGAGCATACCAAGTCTAACCTTTACTGACGGAAACATCTCCGAGCGAGCGAGCAGGTCCGTGGGCTAGCATTTAGCTAGCTGGGCTAGGCTAGGCTAGTCATAGTCGACTGCCGTTAGAGCTAGCAGTAGTCGCTACTGCTACTGCAGTCACCACCCCCACGTCGTAGAACATGGACTGTCAGACCAGTTAGTAGAAGCACGGTATACACGTACGTTATGGAATTGACGTGCGAAGTCTCAATGCAGGGAGTTTACTCGATGGAAAAAGCTCGACCTGTACGGAGCGAGTAACTATCTATCGCTCAATGTCAATTTCAACGAGTCAAAACTGATGCGTGCCTTTTAGTCAAATCTTTCGCAGGACTAACAGCTTGTCTTCTTGAAGAGATAATGGAATACTGCGGCGATGTAACATGAAGCCGCATGTGACAAGTCGACTGCTAAGGTTTAATATCGACAAACAACATGCATTGAGATCATGAGCTGCAAGTTAGTGAATGGTTTTATTTGTATCAGATTTGGTAGACCTGGCTGGCTCATTTTGATATGACAAAAAGCAAGTCTAATTCTTCGAGTGGATTGGGTCATAATTAAAATTTCCCATATGTTGCTACTTTATTTGGCTTTGTTCTTCAAAGACTTCATTCCCTTTTTAAACGAGCTCTAGAATTGATTTGCTTTAGGAAGCAAAACTAGTCTCATACATCTTAATCTAGAAGACAGTTAACAAAACCGAGGGCTGCTAACTTCTTCCGAGCTCGTTTCCTTTATGCAATGAAGAGAGGTTAAGTTTTTAGAATTATAGATGTTTGGGGTAAAATTATATAGGGCAGAACTTTGAGGATTCTGAACGAAATGAGACTTCTTCATTGACGTATCTTCCGATCTTTCTTATGTCTTGCTGTACTATACGAAGGATTTTGTTTTATCTGAAAGACAAAATCAACATATTGTTCATCAGTTTTAACAGCGCCAGAGAAAAGGTTTTATGTTGTTAACGACTGTTCTATCTGAACAAGGTGAATATGCATAGAGCTCATCAAACGTTACAAGATGTGCTTCATAGAATCTCATATTAAGTTATCATTTAGCTATGCTTATGTGATGTCACTTGACTTTGCGTTTTATAGCTGATTAGTGGTATTTCTGCAGTACACAGAATCACGATGGACAACACTGGCGGATTTGTCAACTGGGATGAATTGATGAACTTCAACAACTGCCCCGAAGTTGAAAGTCCTCCTGAGCCTGTGTTGGTCAAAAGTTCCGACCACGTACAGATGGCCATCCCCATGAAGGTGGCGAATGAGCTTCCCTGTCTGAAGCCTCAGATTAAAGTCCTGGGAAATACAGTCACTTTTTCTCTTCATTTCACCTACAGGGTGTTGAATCTTATTGTGGAGTATATATCTCATCGCCATCAGTTGGAGGAGGGAGCACACGTTGATCTTGAATATGAGGCAAAGTGGGAGAGGAATTTTATACAGAATCTGGTTTCTCGTGACCATCGTCTCCTGGCAGAGTTTCTCGTTGCTGCAGAGAATCTGAGAGAGGAAAGCTTGAAGGCAGAAGAAGATGACAGTACTATGCTTATCAAGATGGCGGACTTGATCTACTTACATGGGCCAAGCGAAACTATAGTCGATATCATTGATGCGAGCCGCCCTTTTTCGACACTGTGCAGAGTTCAGACTGTTTTCGCCATGCTGGCTGCCAGGTTCTCCGTGTAGAGGCACCAGACTCATTCCAGAATAAGGTACAGTCCGGGTCTTGGGTAGAACAAAATCCAAAATAAACCGCTTCTAATTCTTAACGTAGAACGTCCATGTATGTGGCTAATCATGTCTAACAAAATCTCTCATTAGTATTGATTTTGATAGTTGAAATCTGATTATCCCCATAGCCCATTATTATAAACCCAACGGATTATATAATCACGTACCATTCTGTCAGTAAATCAATTTCGATAGTGGGAATAATGCATGATCTTTTTATGGACTCTAAAAATCTCCGATAAACCACGAAAGCCGTGTGTCTTGGGTTTGTTCCTCACATCTGGAAAGTCCTGTCATGCAGTTCAGGCGAGACAGATTTACTAAGCTTTCATTGGATCTTCTCTGTTGTTTTCTTGCAGACGTGTGAAGGACAGTTCGAAAGGAGAAGGCTTCTGCTGGATACACATGCAGTTCTCCTGGATTAGATATTGTCTTCACGCAGCTCAGCCTGAGCTGAGCAGCTCCTTGAGCTTGTGAATCTTAGAGAGGTGCTCATCGGGTTGTACGTAACTGCACCATACTCTAGAGAGGAGCTTGGTTCATAAAGTATAAGATGCTTTCCATTCCTAGTGTTTTCTTGCGAGGTCTGCACAGGACTGTCAGATATCATCCTCCTCCACATCCACAATCGGAGAGAAGACTTAAGAAACCGTATGCAGCAGGTTGTATCTCTCTTTAATAAGTGCGACAATCATCCAGGCTAAGCATAAGCGTGAAGCGCGAGCTTGGAAAACTTTGATGCTTTGATTCCTTGCCTATAACAACTGCACATATCTAACAACTGTACTTCATCCACCGTAGCATGTGCTGATCATAGGAATCGAATAATCTGCAACTCTAGTCTTTAATTATGCAGTCGCCTCATACCGTAGTCCTCAGCCTGCACATCTAAATTTCTAAATTGTCCCTCAGGCAACCTGGGAAGAGAAGACTTATTCAGCTCTAGTGCCTACTCACAAGCTACGGTTTGTACATCCTACACTCTCTACGAGCTATAAAAAAACAGCACTAATTCAGAAACCTCTCATCCAGCTCTATGCATGTCTAGTACTGACTGGCGTGTCAAACTAAGATGGTACACAACGATCTACTCAGTTTACTATCATGCTGCTTGGGATGACTGCAGGAAATACTGATATAGATAGGCTCATGCAGTGCTAAAATCTTCTTATGATCCTCGTACGCTACAAATCGGGTACGAGCATGTAGGTGAGATTAGACAAGCACAGAATGTACATCTCTACATGGCTAGTCTATGTAAGTAACGGTAGCATCGAATGACAAATTAGCAGGCGCTGAGGCTGATGCAGCACATTTCTTGTCTCGTATGGAATGTTCGATTCGGGCCTATTTCCTAGCATGCAGACGTAGAAAGAAATAGTCCACCAGCTGTACGTCGGATTTGCTATCAAATTACCTTCGGGATGGAGATTTTCATCAGCATGATTTCTCGAGTACAAACAGGCTCAGCTGGCAAACGTCACTCGCAATGCCAAAGCCTTGGGAGCAGATGTGAAAATTAAGCGCGAGATTCTGCTCGATCCTGCGCATCGATCGACGCTTAGTAGCATGTACTGGCATGGGCTGCAGAGTGACGAGAGAAGGCCAGGTCTGGCATGGCCTGGCCTAAGATACGAAGAAAAACGTGTCAACAATTCCAGACTTACCATGCAAAGGCTCCACACCTTTGCTCAAGCCTCAACGTTGCAGACATGCCCACGGCATCACCGAAATCTCATATCGCTGTTCAATGCGAAAATGTTTGTTGGTTCTGCTTGATCTGTCAGACTACGTTCTGGTTTGGTCTTGCTTCCTTCTTACGCCGATGACCGACGACCGTGTCACGCTGAGATCAAATTTGTTTATAGCGATCAGAGAGTTGACATTCATCCGACAGAGGGCAAATCTAGATCTCACACTTACTGACCACATTTCACCGCAGGACTTCACTTTTCTTTCACACTGCTGTAATAAGAGACGATCCCGTTTCCTCTGCTATGCGAGCCCTACCTCCAGATCATATGGCCCTCAAATCTTGAGACGATGTGTCAATATTTGTGCCTCTTTCTCGACCGTGTGACTGTCCCTCTTCTCACTACATCATCCTCGATGATCGAAAACCCTTTTCTTCACCGCAGCCGATTCTCTTGCTCACATTTTTCGAGCCGGGAGATTGAGTCACATTTGTAACTTCTGTAGATGTCGGAAAAGATCCATCGTGTGTCGCTTTTCGCTTCCTTCTCCTTCACTGCATGCGCAGTTTTGAGTCCTCCTTTGGCTCATCGTCACCAAGTGATCTCGTTCAGTCTCGTAGGCCTCCCTGCTTTTACAGTCTCGTAGGCCTCCCTGCTTTTACAGTCCGGAAGTAGCTTGACCTTTTCCGTCTTGCCAGGAATTGTCAGATCATCAAGTACTATATGTGGAAGTGCACCGCCGAGAGCTCACCCTGTTCTTTTATTTCTTCTCAGTTCTTCCGTATGACACTGGATGATTGAACTTTCTCCACGGAATGATTCTCCGATTCCTTGTGGAAATTATTATGATGTAATCATATCATACCCTTGTTAGAGGTTTGGTTTGATGTCCTGACAGCACTACTGCAGCCCCGACTCACCTGGAGGTTCTCAATGGCTTCTGCCATGAGCTCCGTAATCGAAGGTCATCTACCAATTCCATCTGTATAACTAACTGTTCAACAGTTTTTTTAAACTGGAACAAACCACTTGATACTCGTTTGTCATTGCTAAACTATGATGTCTAGGATACAGTTTTTTCGTATGAACTAAATCTAAGTGGCACACAACATGCTGAAGAGGAGAATAATGGATACACAGTTCGTAAATCATTCGATTCTGCTGGAAGGATTTTGTAGAGAATATTGCAGCAATATAGAATACTCAATATGCTGAAGTTGTTAGGGATAAGACTGAATCTTGCTGTCATTGAGTGGGAGAGATCGTGAAACGGTGAGGACTATCATTTCCATGAGATGGGTAGGTACGCTATATGTTCATTGAGTCCTGGTCTCCAGGAATTTGGACTTGCACCTGTCCTCAAATGCTAGTGCGACTTGAGGTATCTTTCAACTTTAGGGTCTCGTTAGTTCTCATCATGAAATTGAGCATGAGACCTGAGGGACACGTTGAAAGTGGCAAGGCTCGGATGGAAGAAAGCAAAGCTACCATTGCCTTCAGATAGGTGCTCTAGATATTCATTCATTCAGGCCTAGGCTTAAGGCCAATGCACTTTGTTTGTCCCCGAATGCGAATGCAAATGTGGGTTCTGTCTCCAAATTGGCCTACCTTCAAGTTCTAATCCGCTCATCACCTTTAAATATCTTCAATAGGCTTTATCATGAAACAAGGAACATGTTTTCTAGATTGAGATCCGAAGGCAGTTCAAGAAGCACATTGTAGATGTGTCGCTGGAATTATGACCAGATCCACGGCGGATCATCCTTATCATCTTCACCGTAGCATATTCCATATCACTTTCCAGTTAGCTAGTTAGCAGTATTCGAGCATTCTTGAAGTTATCGGACACCTTGAAGGATCAACTTGTCGGTCGAGAGATTTAATCACCTCAGCTACATACCCCAATTGAGAATGTCGCAAAGTTTCAATGATCGATAGAAGATCCCTAGGTCTCGCTTAACGAGTTCCAATTCCGAAAACACATCTTGCCAGCTCATGTCACGCTGATGTCAAAAGCTAAAAAGGAATATCCTAATTCTGAGTGTCTAAGAAAGAATGTTGTTATCAGCTTTCACAACATGGACGACTCTTGTGGATGAGATTGAGTTTATTCGCCCTATGCTCTCTCATTTTCTTCAGTCCTCCAATCGTTGACATTATGGACAATCATAACAAGCTCAAATAAAGGACAATATTTTAGTGTGTATAACCCTCTCCACTTATGAGTACTGGTTCGACATGCGTCGCCAGAGTACGACCACATGTTGTCCTTGTCACATCAAGATGTGAAAATACATCTGAATGTATTCAATTCATCTGACCAAATGAGATCAAAAATTATGCTGTTTGGGTTAAAGGTGGCTTTTGACTTACTTAAAAGATCGACGTTGTGAGAGACTGTTGAAAATTTATGAATCCTTTTGCATTGACAAGTGGGAATGTAAAGTCAAGCTGGAAATGCGTGTAATAATTGAGCTGAAGAACGCATGCACCATCTTGACACGTTGTTCTTACAGAAAAATTTCAAAAGAGATGATATCGATGAGAACTAATACAATTCTCGATCATTGCAGAGACGGCTGGCAATCAGTACATCTTCCAAATTCACATCGTTTTGGAAACCCAGATCATGGCTTATCCTAGAGTGTTCCCGTATTGATTAATTACGAACATTCTGTCACCCATTATGTGTAGATGCCGATCACCATGTTACAATCCCGATGGTTGCATCAGTAGAGAAGAAGACGAGGCTTGTTCAACGTCTTGTTATATAAGAAGCTTTAACGTACCTTTACACGTTAAGGTTGATCTTTTCGATAAGAGACGAATCTACACTTCCAAAGGCATTAGCTATATATTGCAAGTAAACATGTCACAGAAGATATGAGATGATCATGAAACAATGGCTTGGATGTCATGAGAAACAGTGCACAGACTAAAGATAAGGATAGAAAGTTAAGGATTCCCTCCGAGTGGGAGTAGTCTTTAATTCTAGAAAGTTATGTATCTCGTTGACTGCGCATGCAAGTTGTTGTCATTTTGGTGTACTCGATGCTATGCTCAACATACATTCCTAGCATCTCAGGACCTCAATCAAAACAAGGCAGATATGTACTTAATATTAGAGTGAGTCATGAATTTATTCTCCGAGAAATAAGGACTGCAAAGGTTCTTTCCTGATCTGGAAAGAAACTATGAAAGGATGATCAGCTGAAGTTTCGGGACGGTCACTCCACCGGGTCCAGTCACCGCATTAAACTCAATGACTATTTGCTCGGAAGTATAATTGATCCATTACAAAAGGAAGGAGAATCACACATATGTGTACAAAAAGAAGCAGAAAAGTGTCTTTTGAGAATCCCGTAGTGAAGGAAACACAAATCATCAGTCCTTAGTTATGATGAAGCGATCAATGCTGGATGATACAGAATATTTTCCCGAAGGAGGCTGGGAGCCCACCATGTAATTCCAAAACGGAATACTTGTCAAGCTAAAGGTGAGTCAGTATGCGAGCTTGGAGTGATTTTTGTGCAGCTTAGACTCGATGAGCAATGTCGCTCGCATGCTCAAGGGGCTAGTAGGGGTACCTAGAAGTGCGAGGGACCTTTCCAGATCTGTATCCTTTCCTACAATAGAAGAGGTCCTTATGATGAGCAAAACAGCAAACTTTAGCCTTAGATTCTTCGTTGTCAAAGCACGCTGACAAGCTCGCAGAAAACTTCATGAGTTCACCGTTCATGAAAGAACCAAAGCGCGAAATGGCATATTTTTTTCAGGCCCGAATTCTTTTCCAGCCGATCCCCGTGTAGCCTTTTGCTGGATGAATGATGAGAGTGAGACTTTTGACATCGCGACGTCCCACCAAGATTGCGTTTCGCTAGTGAACCGGACGGAGGACATGGCGTTGGTGGCGGTTGATCTCTGCCACGTACACATGTTTCGGAAATTCAACGAGCGCCCGAAGGTGATGGCCGAACCAAATGGATCCTCCGAGCGACGGTAGATATATTTGACGCTGACAGATTCTCATTCTTTCACTAGTGGAGGTGCTCAAGTGCGCACAATTGGTAGAATAGTTGCAGATATCTCGACGGTTTCCATCATAAGGGTCATCAGTATTTAAGCCTGCTCCGTAGCCAGGAATGATAAAAGGCTGTGATCAGACATTTCCGAATGCCTCATTCGTTACTCATGCGGTGGGGTAGCCCAAATGTGATCATGGCATTTGGCTCAATCACTAAGCTCAACTAGAATGCGAACAAGGCCCAAAACTACACCACACCGCACGCACACCACTTCATTGTGGGATCAAATCCAAGCCCCAAACGGGCTCCTCAGTTCCCAATCGCATCACACCCAATCCTTAACTGAGACCCCCACCCACATCGAGAGATAACCTCTGGCCGCCTGTCTAGATCTGTAAGAACGCCGAGACTGCTACCATAGCCAGTTAAAGGGGAGCCACCAAACTTGTCACTTAGCGCACAGTCGCACTCGAGTGCACACATTAGCAGCTTGCAAAGCCAGCAAAACGAAGGAGGGACGCCATGCTTTCCAAAAAGCTTTGAAGAGAATCTTTCGTACAGCAGCCACTTGAACGCAGACTCAGTGCGGTTCTGTACTCTGCTGATCATTGACTTGCAGATCTAGTAAATGCTGGAGGGTGGGATGGGACGGGACGGGACGGGACGAGGTGTAGAGGACATCGGCCGTGGTAAATGGAGACCTCGAACACGTCCGTAGAGACGCCCCGGTCCGAAAAGTACCAAAACGTCGTGGACTGCATATATCTCACGAATCTAGGAGCGAGCAGCAAGGGACTGTAGTGAAACTCAGCTCGACCCCCACCTTCTTCTCCAACTGCAAGGCCAAGAGGAAGAAGGTCATTTTGACGCAGCTGCTTAATAATGGAACCAGGATGACGGCAGTAGCAGTTTCACCGAGTCAGACCAATGTATGTATCCCTGGGTCCCACGGCTAATGCCGAATCTTTTTTTCGAGCTGCTTCTTCCTCTTTTGATCCCGCTCTGTAGCTTATGTGTGCATCGTGCACCAACACATATCACACTCCAGTAATCGAACCGTCAGCTGAGCGCTCATCACTGACAGACATGGCTTTCTCGACATACAGGAATGCGAACCCGGAAAGCCACATCGTCGTCGACCGCCATTTGTTTAGCGACGCTCGGTGCTCGATTGACAGACAGGGTTGCTAATAGCAATCCCGTACTGCCACCTTATCCAGACGGAGCGAGGCGGTTGGGCCAGAGTCGAATCTTTTCTATAAATGAATGGAATGATGATTGCTTTCTCCACAATGCGCAAGAAAGTTCCCAGCCTTCCTTCGGACTCCGAGGGGTACTTTGGAACTACTGACTCCCAGTAACTGTCCTAAAGATACTTTTGGCTTCTTGTGAGGGGGAGACGGTGCGAGAGCGCGAGAGAGCGAGAGGGAGCGGCACGGAAGAACGCTGTCGAGCAGTATATGCAGTGCACACGATCGCAGAGTAGGCGGAAGTCAAGCTCCGAGTGACGAAGCGATTACGAAGTGTCAACCGCTGTAGCCATCCTGGAGCGTATGAGTGAGCGAGTGACTCCGTCCTTGGCAAAATTTACATCACGGATCGAGTAGACTAGCTAGGTGGCTAGCTAGCGGCCTAGATTCCATTTGCCGAATCACTGGTGGGTTTTTGCTTTTGCTCCCCGTGAACTATTTCTCGTCTGATAATAATTGGAGCTTGCTGTCTCCTCCATTCGTTCCACTCTCCATGCTATTTAAGACTTCCTTCTCTTGTGCATTTTCAATCCATCTCGATTTCTTCCATCTCCAGCTCTAGCTCCAGCTCAAGCGCGAGCACAGCACAGCACATCACACAGTTTGACTGTCGGACTCGACACAAAGTGGGCAAGGGCTTTGTCCTTCTCTACAAGCAGGCAAGCAAGCAATACAAACCTCATTGAGCTCGATACGTGAAAGGTCGATCGATCTCCCGAGTTGCAGCAGCAGCAGCAGCAGCAGCAGCAGACTCAGAGCCTAGCGAGGAAGACCGAGTCCAGAAGAGGATCGCCGGGAAAATGGCACTGGCAAATGAACCGCTTCGGCCAAAGATCGTACCCATACTGCTGGTGCTGATGATGCTCACGGCGCGAGGCGAGGGGAGGTCCGATCCCTTCTCCATTCTGCAGAGCACGAGGCCGGGGAGAAAACTCTTCAAGCTCGTGGAAGAGCCGGCGACGATTCTGACGTACCACAACGGGCCCATCATGTCCGCGTCCGGGAGCGTGCCCGTCTTCGTCATCTGGTACGGGGACTTCGCCGAGTCGCAGAAATCCATCGTGCGCGACTTCTTCGGCTCGTTCCAGTCGCCGGGACCGGACGCAGCAGGTCCGACCGTGAGCAGCTGGTGGAAGCCCACCGGGGACTACAAGGACGCCGGCGGATCCAGCGTTCCTCGGCAGATGCACTTGGCCGCGGAATTGACGGACGGCGCCTACTCGAAGGGCAAAGCGCTCAAGAACGCGGACCTCGAGCAGCTGGTCGTCGGCGCGGTGACGGACGTGTTCCCGGCCAACCCGCACGGCTTCTACCTGGTGCTGACGGCGGCCGATGTGCAGGTCGAGGACTTCTGCAAGAGCTCGTGCGCGTCGCACTTCGCGACGCGGCCCGTGGCCGCCACCAGCGATCGACAATTGCCCTTCGGATGGGTGGGCAACGCCGTCCAGCAGTGCGCCGGCCGATGCTCGTGGCCCTTCGCCAAGCCCGAGTACGGGCCGCCCACCGCTCCTCTGCTCGCGCCCAACGGCGACGTGGGCATGGACGGAATGATTATGAACATCGCCACCATCCTGGCCGGCGCCTTCACGAACCCCTTCGGCACGGGATTCTACCAAGGCGACGGCGGGGCGCCCCTGGAGGCGGCCTCGGCCTGCTCGGGCATTTTCGGCGCCGGCGCTTACCCGGGCTTTCCCGGCGAGCTTTCGCAGGACGTGATCACGGGGTCGAGCTTCAATGCTCGCGGCGCGAACGACCGGAGATTCCTGCTGCCGGCATTGTGGGATCCTTCGACTCTGAAATGTGCATTTCCAGCTTAGCCATAGAATTTTGTCGAGAGCCGCCGGCTGGACCGTGAATTCAAGCTCTGGGCATGGTCGGGCGGATGTGCGGGAATTCAACCAACGCTTCGCCTCGGAATTTCCATGGATTCTGCTGTTCCCGGGAACAGATAGATATATAGCCATGATAAGACCAACTTGTATGGCGCAGATGCTCTGAGACAGCGTATAGCAGAGACTACCTTGTAACATAAGGATAGATAATTTTTAAGATGATGTAAATTATTCGTAGCCTTGTTGAAGAGAAAGCTCAATCACTTTTGCAATGAAACTTAAGTATTCGATTATCCAGTAAACTCATCCGCTTGTCTGTCGACACGGGCCCCATTCCATGTTCAGAGCACTGATCTCAATCTTTCCTCACTTTCACTCAGCCAGTTGACTGTGATGTAGCTCTGGCATCAACACATTTTCCAGTCCACGATCAACCTCCTCTTCATGAATGTTGTATCTGACTTCCACATATTACGAATCCCACTGAAGGAAAGAGACGGAATCCAGCTCTGAGATGGTACCTTTCTAATCAGCTCAAGACCTGTGCTGTGGTGGAGAACTGAGCTCAATATTCAGGGAATCTTGAACTGCGCACCGGCCACAGTCCAAGTGATGACAGAATGAATTCCTACAGGGCTATGATGCGAAAACTCTTCGTCTCACTTGCAGACAGTCGAGCTCAATTTTAGACGACGTGAATTTATTACTGTAGGATACACGTTTGTTCACAGATGTGAGATATACATTCCAACGTTGGAAATCGTCTCTGATGGTGAACGATTTGAGATCCACTGAACGGGGCATGCATCAATCACGAGGAAGCACTCGGAACCCAATTGAGAAACCAGAACTGAGCTTCTTCAGATCAAGACGGTGGATAATTTTGGATGTATTTACATCTCAAATTACAGGGGTAATTTGAGTTGTTACGAGACTCAGACATTTAAAAAGTCGCTCTGTGGACAATTTTTTTTCGACACCCACCGTGCTTACAAGCAACGTTCCACGAGCGTGCAATGGTATCCTCTTGCCAGCTTCATTGGAAGCAGCAGTACATGCTTGAACTTACAGGTGGATAGAATCCTGATGTGGCACTCAAATTGCACACGATTATCAGTTGTTTGGTCTCGAGATTTCAAACAACGAATTGTGCTCTGAAATACCGTTTTAACTGACTGACTGAATAAATTGTTTAATTAAATTATAAAATGCACGGAGACGAGAATGACGCAGATTTACTGCGTGAAATGAAGGAGGATCGGAAGGCTGCCTGCCTGCACTTGTGGACGTGGATCGTGCTTTTCTATAAAGAAATGAGCAATAATTCTCTCTCAGGACGTCCGCTTGAAGCAGAAGCCGGGGGACGGTGGGATGGCTGCGAGCGTCGCAGATGTCAAGAAATTGGAGGTCCGAAACTCGGCTCCAAATCTATGGGCAGATATGGTGTAGATTTGGGAGGAAGAAATAGATTTAAAAATTCCTCCCTCATTTTTCTCGTTGAAGACTTTGCCGCCTATAAAATCTTAGCACCACTATTTTAGCACGTCCTTTTCGTCTTTTGCAGAGCTCGTACTTTAATCGACAACAATTCATCTCCTTTGCGCTCTTTCGAATGTTGCTACAGGCCTTTATATCTTGAAGATCTTCTTGTTGTCTAGGACGCCTCCTCGTGCCTTTCTCTCTGCGAGCCACATCTTGTAGCCGAACTTGAGTGAAGGTGCTCCGGCTGCCAGGGGTGGTGCATTCCGGTCAAGCTTGCGCAAGCCGCTTTCTGTGCATGCACGCCACCTTTCAGCCGCGGGCGTAGAGGTCACTCTCAAAAATTTTACTATAAGGCTCTTAAGAACACAGCGCCACAGATTGAGAGGCAGATCTATGCCTAGAACTTCATATACAGACACAAGCAGGTTGCAAGCCAGGCTCCTCCGGGTTTGTCAAAGCGCTTGACGCTTTAATATATTATGCACAAATTTCCGTCACCGTTGTCGTAACAGAGCAATATGATATTCCGAAGAGTGGAACGAATACATTTGAAGGTCGGAGATGAGTTCTGGTTGAGCACTTGAATTTGCTCAGCTGATAAGATATGCCACATGGCTCTTCAGCGCCACAGATTGAGAGGTAGATCTATGCCTAGAACTTCATGCACCGGCACAAGCAAATTCCAAGCCATGCTCCTCCGCGTTTGCCAAGGACCTTGACGCTGTATTATATTATGCGCAAATGTCCGTCACCTTTGTCGTTACAGAACAATATGATATTCTGAAGAGTTGAGTAAATGAATTAAGAGTTTTGGGACGAGTTCTGGTTGGGCACTTGATTTGGGGGTGGACTCGGTGGAAGGAATGAATCAATGATTCGGTCAAAGACAGTGCACGGGGTTCTTGTGTCCCCGAAGATGGGTCCGAGCGTAACATGGCAGACTCGACTGTCATAAAGAACTAAAATCTCGTGCTGCCTGCTCCTCACAGCGACCTCTTTGCCTCCTACAGGCAGGCACAAATCGCTCACAGGTCGCTCGCAGATTGCTTACACAACCGTCATTGCTACTGCGAAGCCTGAATATGGTATTGAATTGAGAGCCGAGGCGAACGAGATCATCGCGGGAAGATTTAGCACCGTTGAACCTTGGTCGGTGTCTCGGCGAAGAGGCTTTTAAGGCTCGTGGGTTAAATTTGTCATTGACGCATGTCAGATGTCACCAGTACGGAGTCTAACTGCTCATGAAGAGAAATCTAGGACACGGAGATCGGACACACGCACAAACACAAACACACACCCCAAATCTCGTGCTTTCGTCTTTTGGTCCTTGCGAGGCCTTGGACCCTAGCTTTTCCCGACTCTGGAAAAATTCCCCGTGCAGCAGAATCCACGATTCCTCGAGTGGGGAAATTATAAGAAAATTTCCGAACAGGAGACAGGGGTGGAGGAGGTGGAGGGGACATTAGTCAGGGCTTGACGGAGGGAGGGAGGGATTTGGGGTAGGACACAGCAGCAGCAGCAGCAGCAAGAGGAGAGTGCGGAAATTGGAGGAAGGGGAAAAGATGTGACACGAGGAAACTTCCTGAAGCTCGAGCGTATGAGTGTGGGGGCATGTAGTCATGATGAGTTCAGAGTGGACAGGAGATCATCATCACCAAAGGCTCGAATTATCGTCTGAGCAAGCTGCCAAAACAGGTGAAATTCTTTCAGAAAGACTGTCATGAGCAATTTCTTCCTTCCATTTTCGTGGATGCTCATAATTTACCCCTGGGAGTCACTCAGGTACCCAATCAACAGCTCTCCTATCAGAGGACACAGAGTGGGACATGAGCTTCATGTCTGTGGATGATTGGTGGCCCTCGCCTACAGTCCGTCGAGTCTTATCCTACACTAAGCCGATCCAAGTTAAAGCGCTTTAGGGGGGCTGCACATGTACACTGGAATCTTGCAAGAATTGTAATCATGAGAAACCTTGATGATTACAACGAGACTGGGAAAACAGCAGGGAATCTTTCGCCCTGGCAGCCTTTTTAGGCCCAGGAATAAAAAGTCCGAGACAACTTGGTGACGCTGGCATCAACTGTCATAACAGTACTACTCGTTGGAATTGAAAATGTGCCATGAGTGGCGTCAATTGAAATATCCATAAGGCTGGAGAAAGGAGACATTCTTGTTGTATCCGGAGCTGTCTGGCATAGGGCCCTAGCACCCCTCCAACAATATAAAATAGGCCCAAAAAAACGCTCGAGGTTGATTCTCGGCGCTTTTGTTGAAGTCTCCAGGCTCCGCTTGCCAGACAACACGCACGTATGCAAGCATATCAAGCTTTTGCTGCTTCTGCTGCATTACACGACGCCAAAGAGCCGCATTTTGCACACCAAGTGTACTTTCTGTCAAAATTTGGAGGTGACTTGTCATCGCCATGATTGTTTTTCCCTTTCATCATTACCTTTTCTGATGATACTCGTACACAGAAACCTCCTCCTCCTCCTCCTCCCACTGTCACAACCACAGCCAGCCTGCAGCAGTAGCCACGCAAGCTGTGCTTACTCTTTCTCGCTTCTCTTCTCTCCGGATTAGGGTTATTATTCTCAAATTCACCGCAACCATCTCTACTTCATCGATGTGCAGATGGCAACCTACTGCAGCAGCAGCAGCTGCTGCTGCTTCTACTTCTACTTCTACTGCCTAGAGGAGAATTGTCAATGTCTAATGTCCTATTGTTCCACCTGCACCCGATTGCACCGCCCGTCCGCCGTCCCACCCACCGGTGTCAACTCCCCAAAAGGCATTCCAAATAAGTCATAATCTGTGCTGTAAATCGATCGGTCACCGAGCCACGTGCGAAATCTGGAAGATAACTGGCTTCGATAAGGTGATTGCAGGGAATCTGAAGGGGCATGAACATCTAGTTCGTCTACTCCGAATGGGCTGGGCATCAAATTCGCTCACCGGGTCACGATGTACAACATGGCTGCATGAGAGTTGTGCATCTTCCGGCCTATCTGTTCATCCATCTATCCATCTAGTGGCGAGTCGAGACACGGAGGTTTAATGCTCTGAGAAGTTGTTGTGTAGTCGGAATGCGACAGATGGTTTTAACAAAAGCCGGAATCTGCCGCTGCAGCTGCTGCAGCAGCAGACTGGAGCGAGTGCTCGGCGAGGTAGTCTGTCTTACCTTATCATGATTCGACTTCTTCGACTGGACCGACGGGTGGTATATCCACACAACCGAATCGGAGCAATTGCAAAGCAACAAGAAAAGAGAATGATTCTCGGACGCTCTGAAGCCTACTCAGGCTACAGTCATGAGATCGTAGTCTGCACTCGAAGTGCATTGGCTGCATGTATCATGACCTTCACCCCAGGGCAACAAATCTCTTCACGTCAAAGCCATCTCCGCGAGTTCGAAATATCTGCGAGCAAATTGATCACATCGTGCCAATCGACTCGTTTCGACTGTTCAAAAAAACCCTGTGAATCATCGAAGCTCGTCGGGTCCAAATCTCGTCACGCGAGCGAGCGTGACGAGATAAGCCGCAGATGGCCTCGACTGGTTGAATGAGCGGCTCTGAACACATTGTTCAGGAGGGATCTTTCTCGTTCAACTGTTCGCCCCTGCCCCCAGAATCTAGTCGAGCATGTCAGGACACAAAAGCGCAGAATATATTTCGCTCATGCCGTCGTCTTCTCTTTGCGATGCGGTGATTGAGCCTCGAGTGCAAGAAGCTCCCTCCCTCCCTTCCCAGGATAAACGAATCTACCGTCGAAGGGTGAGCATGTGAGCTGTCACAGAAAGCACAATAATACAAACTCGCGGTTGATCAGAACGCTGAAAAGTATGCGTCCTAAAATGTTCCTTTTAGGTGGAGAATCATCACGATGCACCGCACGTAGCTCGAAGGAAGGACTCTGAGACGGAGAATCTCGAGCATCCATGCGAGGGCTCGACGCCAAGCATCCAGGAAAGGGTTTTGGAAGCTATGATAGTTCGTTAGACTGTTGGAGGAAGGCGATCATGGTTTCCCGAAAGGAAATGTACAGCGGATGATAACTTTCTTCTCGATCTCGAGAGTCCCGGACGGGCCAGGCCGTAAGCGCTTTTGCCTTCTTTTCACCGCGATTCTCGAAGTGGCCACTACTGACAGATTTCTCGCGCTGTTACTCGTATCGATCAGGGGCCTTACGATTGCGAGCTGAATGGTTTAGTAGAGATGTAGTCTTAAGCGCTCTCGCTTTCTCTAAGAATTAAGTCTCCCTCCCTCCCTCCCACATGAATCCCCATAGACTTATCCATCTCTCTGGAGTTTTCCAGATGATATCGCCGCTTCCAAAAGGTCAGTGGCCCCGAATTCGTTACCTCAAAGATGCCCGTGATGATCACTAGTCGCTTTAATGAGAACTAAACCTCCTCTCGCACAGAAGAATCTCGGAGCGGGTGAGGTTATCTGCAACTCTGACAGACAGCCCCGGCGACCTGTGCAGTATGATGGAATCATTGGGTCCATGGAGAAACACAGATTTACAACGCCCTGTTCGACTGAAATCATGAATTCATCAATACGGGAATCTACCGAGCGGGTGAAAGCGCAACTGGCCCTGGCCCTGGCTCTGGAGAGTATCTCCAGCAAAAGGGGAAAACTCCAGCTCGAGAATTTCTGTTGCAGAAGCCGGAGCTGCACCGACGTGTGAGTTGTGCCGTTGCCACTGCGGCTACCGTGGACCTTTGCAGAAGAGCTCTCTCTGCTCTCGAGTGAGATGGAAAGTTGGCGACTTACCTCTCGGTAACACGCTGTCCAACTTTGACCTTTTGTCGTCACTTTCGCTCAGGACTCGGCACCGAAGGCAAGGACGACAACGCTTCCAGTACGTACGTGGTCGCTCCAGACTCTTCGTGCTCTCGAGAATCCGGACCACCTCGTGATCAGAAACTCATAAACTAGCGTTATCCGCAAGCCATCATGATTCTGAAATCCTCGATAAAGAGGCGTCAAATTTAACCGTTTACGTCGTCGTCTATTATGTTCTCGACGAGAAAATTCAACGAGATGACGAGAATTCCCTGCGAAAGCTCCGGTTCTTTCGAGCACCAGTACCGCCAGCCCGGGTCTGAACGAATGAGATTTTACCCCGCAACAGTCTGTCACTTTTGAAAGAGTCTGGAATGGCTACGGGTGAGAAATGGCAGCTGCTGCTGCCGCTGCCATTTCTCGTGTCTTTTCTCGGTCTATTTCGTGGTCAGATATCCCTACGACCATGATTCCAGAATTGATCGTTTGTTTAATGGTTTGCTCGAGGCATGCCGATCTCATTTCAGAGATAACGCCTTTGAACAGAGGATGGAAACACTTTTGCTCTCTTCACGGGAAAAAGAGATGTTTGTAGCCGCTGGAGGAGACGTGGCAACTTGAAGGCACATTGCAGCAGAATCGGCAGTTCTGATAGCAGCTTTAGGCAGTTGAATGCGAACAGAATCATGAGGACGAAAGAGATTCCCCGTTTTTAAGGATTCAATTGTGCACAGACGAAAAATATCCAACTGCAGTCTACACTCCCCGCGCGAGCTACATGAGACAACTCTTTCTGCGATTTGGCAGTTGGGAATCAAAAAAAGGTCTCGATGGCAATAAAAATGCATTGCCATCGAGACCTCGGGCCCTTGTTTGGTTGATTTTCTGACATCTTCCACGCCCAGGAATCTTTCCTGCAAGACTCCGAGCACCTGCCTGCCTGCACCTGTAGTAACAGAAAAGCCCCAACGAATCTCTCAATGCAAGAAACGGGTTGAGCCGAATGACTAGAGCCCTGGCACAAGATCACGGTCCCGAGAGTTTGTAAATCTCCTGCTCTTGGTGGTTCGAATCCCGATGCCCTGTTAGGAAAAAAGGGGATTCATTAAATTCATACGCTCAAAACCATTCCGCTTCTTTGGACTTCTAGGTCGGCTGCCCATATTTCCACGGTTGCTTTCCCGCACGAGTAACCATAGAACTATGGTCTTCCAGGCCCCCCTCTTCTCCCCTGCCTCCTCTTCCTTAGCTGTTGAATTCGGTCCCTTTGGTGTCTCGGGATCCGTGGGCCTCACGTTGACTCGAGCACGGGTGCATAAATTTGCAAAGGTCATCCTGATATCAGAAACGGGACTCTGGGAGGTACCTGGGTAAAATCTCGGAATGGGCCTGTACAGAGCTTTTTATCAAGCACCGATTTTCCTATTATTTACGCTGGTCAATGCGTCGTCTAATCAGGTGAAAACCCTCCTCCGGCTTGAACGACATTCGCCACTTGCTGTGCTCGGTCTTCATGTGAGTCTTATGTGAGTCCCGTCTCGTCTAGCTGTAGGGTGCACTAGCGATCTATGTCTGGGAGCTCAACAGACTCCTATCAGCTTGAGATTCTGTACTCTCAGAAAGCAACAGCTTACGGCCCAAGTCTGCATGAAGTCTTGACTTCTGGAGGCCTGTTACAGCACAGATTATAAATCAAAGGTGCAGAGGTGACATATTTTGAGCCTATTGTAACAAATCCGCAAAGGTCCAAGCTGCAAACCGGGGGTAGGAAAGGCCGGGATCAGCAATGAATATATTTTGGATGTAGTTCTATCTTATACTAAAATCTCACCATCGGATGCTGGATATGGCTCTCGGCTTAGTCAGTGACTGTGCATAGCCTTGCTTGGCCCTGTGGGATGAGCATAATTCTGGAAGAATCGATGCTACTTTGATCTAAACAAAGGTCAGCTTTTCAAATCGAGGGCCTTCTCTCGACTGAAACCGAAATCAACGGAAATGAATCAAACACATGGTCAAGACCTTGTCATGCGCTTATAAGGATGGTTATGATTCGTGGGGACACCGATATTGTTTTGAAGCCTATTGGACACAGGGATAGTTAGACAGCCAGGGTGCAGATGAGAATCTCCACAGTTACAAGCAGACATCGAACCGAGCACTCCTTTGAAGCGTTACACTAAAGCTCGGGATAAGGGTCAGAATGTTTTGGGCACATATTCTTACGCTGAGAACATATTCCCGAGGACTATTTCAACCACAGATCATGTCCGCCGACTCTCAACCTGCATCTAAAGGACAGTGATGAGGAAAGCTTCTAGGATATTCTCACTCGCCAGCTCAAATATCACGATTCCTTTCCCTTGTAGGGCAAGAAATCATCTGGCTTTGAGCAAACGTCGTAAACTTCGATCCTATTCTTTCTAATTAGAATTTCTTTCTTGGCTGGGGGTGTTGGGGGCGCTATGAATATAGAAGTGAAAAATGAGTGGGAATATAAACTCTTCGTACGAATCGAAAGTATTGGGATGAGTTCTATCACTTCCTGGTATATATGTTCTTAACTCAAATTTTAACGCTTTGAATTACATCAGTTTATTCTCCAGGTTCCAGGACATAGAATCGATTCTCTAATCTGTACCTATTGGAATGCATCAATAAATTATGCAACTTCCTTGAAATTTAACGAATAGCGAAAGAGTTGGAAAATACTGTTTAGTTTCGCACACCAGTTGAACCGTGAATCGACAATGTCAAAGCAGGACGGCTGCCATGAAATGTTACAGAGTGAGATGGCAATTAGAACCCAGCGCTTCCTACACCTTCAATTTTACACCTCGAATGTGAAATGTTGGTTGTGCAGTTGCTCTATCTGTGATAGAGCAACTGCACAACCAACATTTCACATACATTACCGTCTTTGAAGAATTTCAACTCGCAGGGATGCCCATTGAACAAAATTAGAGATAAATTCTCACATCAGTAAGGTTGTTAATTTCCGCTTCAACTCCAGTTGTTTCCTGCAATTCTTATATCATGACATATCTACAGAGCAAAGTGACAGTGGAAAAATTTACAAGCTCCAGAATCAGTACCCAACATGGAGTAAGAAACATCCTTCGAGATAAAAACAAGTGTTGACAGTTTGAATGTATCGCAGCATTCTGGGCAGCAACTCTCGCAGTTGTTCGTACATATCCACTTCTGCTTCCACAATATTCAAATTGAATATTCGACCGTTTGCTTCACCCATGCTTGCACCAGACTCATCAGAGGTATAAAACTGACCCCGTTCCTCAAAATTGTAGGTCTGCGAAAGACTCTGCTACTTCCACCAGTCGAAAGCAGGAGTACTAAAATATTTAAAGCCCCTTGGAGTTCACATCATGCAGTAAAATTTCGGATAGAACATCTGGAAATGCGCCATTACAATAGTAATGTGTGAGAATTCACGACCAGATAATAAACAACATATCGCGTAGCATTCAGGGGAAATAAAAATATGACAGAATCCAATGTGTGCTTTGATGTGATGAGTCAAAATGTAGCTTAAAAAGCTCTTGACAGCCGTGAAGATTAAAAAAATAGTTGACATCAAGAGAAGACAAATAAGTATATACAAGATACACAAAGTTTAGTTTCTAAACTCAGTATGATTCTCCTCTACGCCATTCGATATTAGACGGGCAGGCGGTCGAGCTGTAACCAGAAGCTATCTACAGTCAGGGCCGTGAAGAATTAAGGAACTAATAGTTCAATGAATGTGCTACTACTACATGACCGGAAGCAAACAGATTTGACTGCTTCCTTTGCACTAACTCAGCTTCCAAATCTAGGGAGTAGTGCACTTTTGGGTGGATGGCATCCACAAGGCAGGCAGCAAGAACTTTCTTTGATTGGCACCCACTGCATTGTAGCTCGCTCCCGTCTTGGGATCCACCAGCAAATCCCCTGGATAACCTGAGTAAGCGTTGGCACCATAGATTCCAGCACAAGCTGTGGCAGCCTCATATGGGTACCCAGCGTCACCTTGGTAGTAGCCGGTGTTGAAGGGATTGGTGGCAGTGCCTGCTACCATGGATGCAGTGTTGATGACCATGCCGTCCATGCCCACATCCCCGTTGGGAGGCAGAAGAGGCGCACCGGGAGGACCGTAGGCGGGCTTGGCATAGGGCCAGGCGCAGAGGCCAGGGCACTTAACACCAGCATTTCCCACCCAAACGAAAGGCAAATTCTTGTTTCCAGTGGCAACAGAGGGAGCAGTGGCGAAGTGAGAAGCGCAGGAGTTCATGCAGAAGTCCTCCACGTCCACGTCTGATGCAGTGAACACGAAGTAGATGGCATTCGAATCGGCAGGAAACATCTTCAGAGAGCCGACCACCAGGCTTTCGAGATCCGCATTCTTCAGCACCTTGCCCTTCGAGTACTTGCTATCAGATATCTGCTTCATCACCCTCACAGACCTCGGCACCGAAGATCCACTGGCAGTGTACCCGCTGGTGATCTTCCACCAGCTGGCGACGGAAGGAGCAGGCAGAGCAGCACCGAAGGAGGCAAAAAAGTCGGTCAAAATGGTTTTTTGCGCCCTGCTGAAAGTTCCATACCAGATTATATATACAGGAATGCTGGTTCCCTGCGTCATGAGAGGCCCGTTGTGGTAGGTGAGGACGAGAGGGGCGGGTTCAACCAATTTCAGAACCCTCCGATCGTCATAATTCGCTGCATTATCATGACTCATGGGCAGCACCGAGGAGATAGGCCCTATGTTCGCTTCGGCAAACTTCCCGATCACGCACATGACCAGCACCCACATTGCAGTGATTCTTTGACACTGGAGCTGACAAGCTGCCATGGAAGCCATCCCTAACCAGACCGAAACGAGACGATCTGAGCAAAAACACACTACACCGAGCTGAGCACGCTGATACTCACACTCTCTAGCTCTGTATGGCCAAAACTATAACACTGCAGACATCCACACTCCGCTTCAACGAGCGACCCTGCGGACTGCGAGTCCAAAAGACACGGCCACTAGACTTCCCAGCACCGGCAGTGGTGGTGGCAGCAGTAGCTGTCGTGGAAGTAATACGTGAGGCAGTGTTGATGAGTCTTGTTTGCACGACGAGCTGCAGGGCTTTGTCCCTGGACTGGAAGTGAGTTGGAGAGAGAGTGAGAGAGAGAGGAGAGGGAGGAGTTGGGTTCGGATGCTGGAAGACTGCACAGGCGGGCCTTATATATGTATCGATGCGAGAGGGGGAGGAGTAGTGACCGATAAGAAGCAAAAAGGTGGAATCCGCGTCAGCACTCGGCCCCGAGCCCGAAGGCACCTGGCTGTGCATGAGTGGATAATGAAGACAAAGCGAGTGTCACGGGAGATACTTTCCGCTCTTCATACTCCACTCAGTCCACTGGCTGTCCGCTGGAACCCTGCGCAGCTTGGGGGCGAACCGAGCATGGCAGCTTACAAAGGAAGCTTGACTTGGAAAGGCGAGCGGAGCCCAGCCAGCCCCCGGGATCAGATAGCTGGGCTCGGCTGGAAGTGGGAGGGAGCATGGAGCATGGAGCAGCAGCATGGCAGCTGCAGGACGGGCAGGGCACGGCAGGCCATGAGACTCCCATCCCATCCCATCCCATCCCATCCCAGGACTCATGGGAGGGGACGGGAGCGGAGGGCAAGCGAGTCAAGGGGGATGAAGGAGGGCGACGAGGAGTCGGCACAGGCTGTCTTCATAACGCTTTTGCCAATCTGGCGATGGATGAGGCAGGCCCGGGGGAAGGCGGGTCACCATCATAGTGCTGAAAGCCGTGTCACGACGCATGCGCAGGGCACCCGTCCCACCGCGACTCGTTCGACGGGGGTGGTCGCCATACGTGTTGACTCGGATCGCCTTTTCCCTGTGGGCCATCGCCACATCGTTCGACCGGTGACCGCACCTGTCTAGCGCAGCGCAGTTTTCAGTTACAGATGGGGCGGGACGGACCGGACGGGCCGAGACGGCTGGTCGTGATGTTGGTCGATCTCGGTTCCTGGATGCTGATTGATCGCGGTGGTGGGTTCCTCTCTTCGTTCCACCACTTCAGTAACTCTCGCTCCAAATCATCGGGAGCCCATAGATAGGCCTCCGCTCGCTCGGTATGGGCCGCAGCACCGAATCACGCCCCGACGATTCTCTCCTTCCCCTCGCTCCCTCGATCTCAGTCCTTTCAAACATCAGGAGCAGCTTTTTCCTTTCTCCCTCCCGGACATGACTCGTACCTGCTGACCTTGACCTGTAAATCGAACCACGAGTTTACATTTACAGGAGGCAGCAGCAGCAGCTGGAGCAGCTTTTTGTTACTTCCCCTTCCCTTTCCTCACTCCTTCCTTGCTTCCTTTACAAAACAGGACACTTCTTAAACCTTGACTTGACCCCGCGACTCAAATTTACAGCGGAGCTTTTCTCGGATACAGCAGAGCTTTTACTGTCGCTTTCAATTTCCGCTGCCCATCGCGTCCACGAAAAAGGCTTGGAGATTTCTTTCACTGCTTCCCTCCCTCCTCCCTCCCCTCGGCTTTAAGGGGACCTTTTTTATTTGTTTTCACTTCCTCCTACTTGCCTCTGTGAGCCTGACGGGATTAAAAACATCTGGAAAGCTTCGCAGGGTTTCATACCCGCTGATACGCCCGAGGACAGGCGGCTTCAGGTCTCTTCAGGTTTTTCCAGGTCGCTCGAAGCGATTTAATTCGAAATCAATTGTTTAATAGCTCCATATATTCGCCGTCCAGCTCAGAGCGCTGCGATGTGCGTACTATTTCCAGGTGGGTGCAGGCACACTCCTCGTCCTCGGCAATCGAACCCGTCCAGCTATTCGAGCGTCCATGCAATCGAGCAAGCGGACTTTGCCCGACCCTCTGCGCTCGCTCTGTCTGGCTGCCCACATGATGTGGACATTCGGAAAGTGTCCAGTGCGAGGGAGGGAGGGGAAGGGGAGGGAAGGGAAGGGGGTGTGTGAGAGCTATGGGAACTCTGGATACGGCTCAGCCATTTAATGATCCCGCTTACATGACATTCCTCCCCACTCCCACAATCTCCACCAGATTCACTTCCCAAGCTTCGGTCGGGCCGGCGGCATTCTCCTTCCCGTCCTCGTGCTCTCGGGTCGTCTCTTCATAGGTGCTGACTGTTTCATGGATCTGGACAGGTCACGAAAACATTGGGAAGGGAGGGGGGAAATCTTCTCTGTCCTTTCTCTCTCTTTCTCTTTCGGCTCTTCTCCCTCGCCTCGCCTCGACTTCATTTCGTCCCGGAGCTCCGCCCGCCTCCAGCTGGATCATGTAGTCGGGGCAGTCGGTGCAGAAGATCCTTTCCGGAGTGACGCAAGAAAGTGATGCGGTGTGGGGAATGAGACAATCCCGGAAAGGTCCGCATGGGACCCACGGACGGGGTCGACAATTCTAGAGGCGCCGCTCCATTGGTAAAAACCAGCTTACAACTCGAGACCAGAGCTGGCAAAGGCAAGGGGGCGCGCGAGCGAGCGAGCGAGCGAGCGAGCGACGAAGGCTTGGCGTGGAGGGAGGCGTGGCGCGACGAGGATCGACATAGTTCGGGACCCCGTCTTGCGGGGAGATAGATGGAGCGAGCTATCGGGGATTCAAATCTAATCTTGGCGCCGGAGTCGACAGACAGACTTCCACGAAAGGAGGCATGGGGTGTGGGGCTGGGGGCTGCCTGGGGAGCAGTACTAACATCCCCGGCAGCAGGACGGCTGATTTGTTTAGAATAAAATAAGCCGGGGCATCAGCTAATCCAGAAGTTCAGACAGGACAATAATATCCTCGAGGCCACCCACACTGCCCGAATGTTTTCGCCTTATCATTATCGGACTCAGAATCGGATGTGAATGTTGTTGGCCGTGCTGTACCGATGGAATTTACCCTGCTCCCGGGGCTCGCTCGGACTTTCGGGTCTCTTGACTCTTGCTCCACCGTGTTCTTTACTGAACTGTACCATTTTCTACGTAGATATGGAGCCCGTGAGTACCACCCCCACCAGCCCGGTGACGTCACCCCCTTCGCTCGGCAGCAGAGTGGCCAGCAGTCCAGAGTCTCGTCGAGTACAGTAGTTACGGCTCGATGCTCGTTAGAGATTTGAATACTTTACAGTTGAGAAGGTGGTGAGGTTGACATTTGGGTCTTCTCATAAAGAGAGAAAGGGACAGCGACAGAGAGAGAGAGATGTGATCACGAGCGTATACGTATATTGTAGATTTGTCGAGATGGATTTGGGGACGGATGAACTACCGGATTTCGGTAGATATCTTGCACATGTAATTCTCAGGTATGTACCGGTATTCTTCTGACGGTCTCGACAACTTGTCATTGGGACAAGCTATCTTTACGTACCGCATGGGTCTCAGTACCTTCTTCTGAATAACGCGTGCTTTGCTTCGGTTCATGGCAGGTGCGTGCTATCCTAGCCTGCCGAGGACGAAATCAGGCCGGAGTGCTGTGCAGATTCTGCAGAAGCAGCCATCGGTCAGAGAATATAGTTTTTAAGCGTGTGCTCTCCTGTTTCACTCTCGAATTGTATCGACGCCAACTCTGTTCAGCAGAATTTGACGCTGTCAGTCAGATTTAGGAAGATTGCTGTGTCTCGCTCGTCATGCAGAACTCGAGGATTTTCGTCTCAAATTGTGAATGTTTCGTTCGGTTCCATTGGACTCAAGGATTCTGATTTGCTCAAGATTTTCTATGTTTTGACAGTTTGCAAGATTTCAGTTGGCAGGTCAATCCCCCACCCCCTCCCGGTAGTTGACCTTCAAGCGTGTCAGAGCGCAAAAGAGACAAAGAATGATGGAGAGGGAAAAGATATACTTTGTCCATATTGAAAGAAATTCAATTCCGCCCGAGTACAAACAAATGACCTCGCCTGGCATGGAGTTCCCTTTAGTTAGTGCACAAGAAGTTAGGAAGCGAGTTTCAAATGCTTGCCACTGTGGCCTCCCCTGGACACCGGCATTTCCAGCCGTTGTGCACCAGCATGTCAACCTCGGCCCCGGAAGTCAAAAGTGCGTGGGGCATCGTGACGAGCTCAGCTTTGCATCCTCACAAAAGTGAATGGCCTTGCTCAAGAGACATCACGAATTGCCACTTTTGGAGTCCAACACCACCCAAAAGCTTCATTCATTACGCTCCAGGAGAGCAACAATCCCTTTCACCCCTCCCTCCTCTCTACGTGCAACTTGAGGCACATTGACTTCAACCAGGGTGAGAGAGAAAACGAGGTCGGTGGCGGTCACTGGCAACTGTTAACTGAACCGGTCCAGTGCAGCTGAGTCCTACCCCACACACAAAATCCTCACGCACAGCAACATTCTCTCGCTTGTGAGAAACAGAGAAAACAGAGAGCAGAGCTGCGCTGTGCTGCGGCGAGATGATCTTTCACGTGGGCACAGGACCACTCTCCGTATCCCCACCCTGGTGCTCAACGAATCCTGCCATCCCCCTGTTGGTGAGGCCAACAGATTTTGTAAGAAAAAGACGGGAATCGAGTAAATTTATCGATAAGGATGGAAGACCCCATCAAGTCGTACATGGATTTCGTAGGGAACGTAAGAAGGTTATATCTCATTTCCGGCACGATCTTGCGTGCTTCTTCTACGTACAGCTCTGATTGTAGAAAGCTTCTACGTGGGAATGTGCAGCTTGATTTTATGCTCTCCGATCCCCAATACTTGTAAAGCGAGTTCGAAGGTGGTCCACGGATCAACCGGACTCGAGAAAGGGGAAACTTACACGTCCTCTGTCTGTGCACACTGAACTTGGCTGTAAGAAGGCCCTATGGGACGTGGTGTGATGGATTCTGTTGGAATCAGTAGACGTGAGCGAGCAGAACATCCTCTATTCATCTCGGAAAGGGCAACAAGTTGTTTCTGACAGGCAGATCCACTCTTCAATTGCTTCCGCGCGAAAATGACCGGATGGAGTATGACAGAAGATCGCTCACCGTAAAGCTGTCTATGTGACCGATGCAGATTTCTCGACACGTGTGATATCCAACGAACAGCCCAAAGCATTCAAATCTCCACTTTCTAAGTATCCAGGATCTTCAAAAATAAATCCTTCGAAAATATGAGTTTGGCGCACTTGAGCAACGGGTGGATGTCTGAAGTGAGGGAGGAAAGGAGAGAGAGACTGCAAGGCTGTCGGCAAACACGCAACGTCAAGGAAGGACTGTTGAGCTTTTGACATGTCCCTGGAGCTCAACGGCGTATTAGACGCATCTGTTGCTCTTTTCCGTGTGTCTTCTTCTCTGGCTTCTGTCGCATCTGTTTAGAAGGAATGGGGGGAAATGTCAAAGCAAGTACATCTCCATCTTCCACATCCTCATTGTCTGTTTGTTTGTTTCATCCACTCTGACTGTCCAACCTCGGCTCATGTTGCCACATTTGAACTTCCGAAGTATGCAACATCGAAGGAGCCAGAACAAATGATTACTTTCACAAAAGAAGTCAGATGCAGAAAGGGGCTGAGCAGGACAGGAACGTTGCATTCCTGCGGCCATGCCTGCCTGCCTGCCTGCCTGCCTCCTGCACATCACCTCTTGTGCAGAATGCTGATGATTAGTGGGCTCCCAGAGCGACGAACACTCTCTTGGGCTACGTAAACATTAGTGTACTGTACTAAGAGTAGGAGAGGTCGCAAAGTCAAGCCTCAGTTCAGACTGAATATCCAAACGCTCTTCCCAACTCCCTCGCCGTATTGCAAGAGCTCACAAACTACACCCTCCTGAGAAGAAAAGTGTTGCCTCGCTGTGCCCTCTTAGTGAAGAAGCCAGATTAAGGTTCAAGAAACGAGCTGCATGCTCTTCTTCTCTGCCTGCGTCTTTCTGCTTTCTCCTTTTGGGTTTGCCCGCTGGCTGGCAGAAGGTTGGTGCCATAGGGATTCCCAGATCTGGTTGGA